AAAAAGGGTAATAAAACACTTTTGTTTGTATTTGGAACTTGGTCTTCCAGGGACTTGAGTTCTCTGTTTACCATCAAGATAGTACGTTTACCGACATGATGTATAGAGTCTGGTTGACCTGGCACGCGTGTAGATTTTGATCCTGAAGAAAGAAAGGGTGACGTAACATTGAGATGTGTGGGACGTTTTCATATGGGGAGTTTTCAACCACGCGAACTAAATGGAATACTCACTCACTCACTCATTTACTCACTCACCCAACCATAGACCCTCTCTCTTTCACTCATTACCTCAACCACTCACTATTCACTCTACCACCCATCCATCAACCCTCACTAACACACTCATTTCCTCACACACTAACCCGCTCTACCACTCAAGCCCCGGCCCTACTGTCACTCACTCACTCACTCACTAAGCTGTAACAGTTACTCATGATCACCAGCTGATGTGTATTCTGTTGTCATGCACATCCTTCTAAACCTATACCAATATACATGTACATACGACAAAAATCATTCCTGACCAAAAGATTATTTATATCGATGACAGTGTGTTTATATGTAACTATTGTTAATTTGATATTACCAGCCATCCTCATTGCCCCATTGACAGATTCCCAGGACGCGTCATACCCAAAGACGTTACAATATGGTACTGCCTGGCGCTCGGCATTAAAAGGGTACAACAAGGACTGGTCGGCTTGGAGTCAGTATAACTGTGTCTGTGTGGGGTATTCATGCTTCACTGCGGCATGGTATCTCAGTGGGCTAGCACTATAAAACCAGCTTAAGTCTGGGCTAGTACAAGCAGCCACACATACACACGCATGCACGTCGTCATATGAGCGAAATATTCTTAAGTGCGACGTTAAACCCCATTTCACCTCCCCTCACCTCACCTCCCCTCACCTCACCTCACCTCACCATTGACAGAACGGACAAAAACAAATTCAAAGAGAAGATATGCAATTCAAGATAAACTTACAGCTTCACCATAAAACCTTCCAATTTGAATTCACATAAAACATGTACGTACACTTTAACCTGTGACAGTAAGTCATATACATGTATATTGCATGGTGATCCCATGCTAACCACGAGGTACATGAACGGAAACAATCGGCATGCTATTAGTACCCACATTCCATTTGTGTTTAAGGGTAAATGAGCAGGAAGGCAACTCTTTGGGGAGAAGTCAACGGTGGATTTACACCTCTGTGGTTTATGCAGCTGGGATGTTAATGCAACGTAGTTCCTTTGTTAATCGTCACCCAGTACACATAATGCACATTCATGTTAAAAATAATGTCCTCAGCACAGCCTCGGGAAGTCATTTAATGACATGGATGCATGACCATACACATTGGCGCCAGGTTTACCTTTATACCCCAACACGTTTTATGAGGTTGGTATTTCTCTTGCGCCCTTGTGGAATGACTTAATATGTGACGGGTTATTTTAAAAATACAGTTGGCCATTAATTATTGTTGGAATCATGTTACGACTGTTTATGCACGGTTCAGAAATAACGGTATCGGTGATCTCACAGTACAGTTGAACCGCTGACATTCCAGTTTAAGATATCACAATACAATGCGTATGGAGACATGATGTTAGGATGAAAATATAGTTGAGACTTGCAACAATGTGTAATGTGTACTACATGAGTCTAACCTATACGAAGTTGCAAGATGAAACATTACTGGAGTCTGTATATCTTTCTCTTTATTCTGGTGTATGTAGGCCATCAGCCCGTAGTACAGTTATTTCATACAGCCAACAAACGGCTTGTACGTAGCACATAAGCGTAAAATAGATACATAGCTAGATTTCGTAGCACAGTGGAATTGTCTACAGACATCAAAGTATTAAATTTGTACAGTGATGGATATGTATAATAGGTCACAGGAATATATAATGTACGTACATGATTATAGGCATAACATAATAAGAGAAAATGATATTCATTTTCAATGTGAGCACCCGAACACACATTGAATGTGTCAAATATTGTTTGTTTGTTTGTTGTGTTTGTTTGTTTGTTTGTTTGTTGTATTTGTTTGTTTGTTTGTTGCTTGACTCAGCAATATTCCAGCTATATGGCGGCGATCCGTAAATAATCAAATCTGTAGCAGACAATCCACTGATCAACAGCATGAGCATCGATTTACGTTCTTAGGATACCATAACATGTGTCAACAACGTCAGCGAGCGACCCCCGATCCCATTTGACGCTTCTAACGACAAGCAAGTGTTGCTTAAGAGACATTCTAACCCGGATCTACACGGGTATTGGATATGAATAATACGGCTTAATTTCCTATTGTAGTGTAAGATACAAGCACGTTGGTAATATAGTTTTATCAATGACAGGGCAGATTAAATTAAAGGCACTGTGCCACATTTAAATTGATTGATGGCTTTATATCACTTTAAAGCATCGATTCATATGGGATTCGTCATCGTGGCACAATGTCCATTTGTAGCCTAATCCATCAATGTATTTTTTCAATGCCGTGTTAATATCGATCCCGATAATATTCTCATTATGGTCGTCATCGGGGGTTGTATTGTATTTGTCACCCGTGAAGAGATCTCCCGTTTAATATCAGTACACCTAAACAGTGTTTAATAACGTAACTTACAATCCGTAAAGTGAGAAGGATTGGTGAGTGAGTGAGTAAGTATTTTTACGCCGCCTTTAGCAATATTCCAGCAATATCACGCCAGGGGGACACAAGAAATGGGCTTTACACATTGTACCCATGTGGAGAATCGTACCCTGGCCTTCGGCGTGACGAGCGAACGCTTTAACCACTAGGCTTGGTAGAGGCGCGTATACTTTGGTTATCGGAGGTTATGCCACCCATGTACAAGCGACTCTGGTCTTGACTGGGGTTTCTTTTACTTATATTCTAAAGATTCAGCTCGTCACGATTAAACAGAACATCATATCGAAACACCATCGCAGCAATTGTCCTATTACGACAAGGAAATTCCTTTTGCAATTTAGAGTAGCCTCCCTTGGACCACGTGGAAAACACGCGCCTTGCCCCCGGGCGTGACACGTTCGTTATCATCCTCTTTGGGGCATCTTTTATCGCTACACTAATATGGCGCCAGCGGTTATTACCAAAGTTCCTCATACCCCGAATGTTGGGGCATTGGTATTCCTGTGTGTATGGAAGTATCGTACTAATGAATAGGAAACAGCTTGACGGGTACTGTACAATGTCCCGGCTGAATGTACTTGGAGTTAAATTAGATTGGTTTGAGATTCTCACTAGACAATTTATAGTTACACGATTGCTGAATATAAACAAAATTAAAAACCACAACAACACAGAAAACCATTAACTCAGTATTAGCTTAGGTCAGGCATAAGTCAGCTTTGGGGAGCTGTGCCTTGTTGCACAAGTAAAGAAATAGGAAAGAAATCCCCGCGATGTGGGGAGTTTGTGTGAAGCTGGCTTGCTTTGCTGGCGAGCTCTCTAAGGCCACGCCAGTGATCCAGCGAGAATGAGGTGCCGGGATCGAGCCCACCTGTGACCGGGTGTAAAAACTTGGAGTAAACTTTGTGTGCAGACGCTTTCACTGTTGTCACAACCCCTAGTGTACAGTACACAACCCTGTGCACTAAAAAGAACCCTACGAATCCGTTGGTATATGACCAGATGGTTGTATGATCCCCAGGGAGTTGAGATTGATAATAAGATGTGCCGTTGAGATTGACATCCAATGATCGAGGGAAAAAATACCAGCGCCTTGAGCATGCACTAGTGCGTGGATATGTGGACTATATAAATATCCAATAATAAATAATAATACATAATGACCGTCAAGCGTAACACACAAGACGTGTACATATGATTGATTGGCACAATAACTTCCCCTTTAATGTTTCCATCCATACATATATACAACACGTTCCGTTATATGTGCATATATATGTATACAATACCTTCGTTTACATTTGTTTTCACATATCTATGTACACAGCACCTTCATTTATATGTGCATATATATGTATACAACGCCTTCGTTTACCTTTGTTTTCACATATCTATGTACACAGCACCTTCATTTATATGTGCATATATATGTATACAACACCTTCGTTTACCTTTGTTTGCACATATCTATGTACACAGCACCTTCATTTATATGTGCATATATATGTATACAACACCTTCGTTTACCTTTGTTTGCACATATCTATGTACACAGCACCTTCATTTATATGTGCATATATATGTATACAACACCTTCGTTTACCTTTGTTTTCACATATCTATGTACACAGCACCTTCATTTATATGTGCATATATATGTATACAACACCTTCGTTTACCTTTGTTTTGCACATATCTATGTACACAGCACCTTCATTTATATGTGCATATATATGTATACAACACCATTGTTTATATGTGCATATATATGTATACAACACCTTCGTTTACCTTTGTTTTCACATATCTATGTACACAGTACCTTCATTATATGTGCATGCATGCATGCAAACAGTGCCTTTATTTATGTTTGCATGCATATATGTATACATCACCTTTTATGCATGCACCTTTGTTAGAGTTGCATGCATATTTGTTGACAGCACTTTCATTTGTGTTTGCTTGTGTATATGTATCCAGTCCCTTCGTTTATGATTGCTTGCATATTTGTGTACAGCCCCCCCCCTCCCGTTTGTTTGTATGGGTGCATGTATACAATGCTATCATTTGTGTCTTCTTGAATGAGTTCATTTCAGTTGCCGTACATCCCTGTATGACTCTCACGTGTGTCTGTACAAGCACAGTATAAACTTATGTCTCCTTGCCCACTTTGTATGTGCGTGTGTGCGTATATATAAGGCTTTCCTATGTTGCAATATAGATGGAATTGCAATTCTGTGTGTATACAATTCCATCACGTGAAATGGTCACATGTATATTTGCCTAAGTTCTCTAGCTTCAGTAACACCGACGGTGTCTGTTTCAGCATCTCCTACCATGGCGCCCAGATGGACGTGGGTGTTTCTGGCCGTACAGTTTGCAAGTCGGGCTCTGATTGCAACAGGTAAGCCTATTTTTAATCCTAACTTGTGCTTCGTGTAACGTTTCTGACTGTAGACGTTTCCGCCGTGATGGGGACAGTGGGGTAGACCAGTGGTTGAAGCCCGTCACGCCGTACACGTGTGTTAAGCCCGTGTCTGGTGTCCCTCGCCTTTATATTGCTGGAATATCGCTACAAGCGGTGGGGTGTGGTGTGGTGTGGTGTGGTGTGGTGAGGTGTGGTGAGGTGTGGTGAGGTGAGGTGAGGTGAGGTGAGGTGAGGTGAGGTGAGGTGAGGTGAGGTGAGGTGAGGTGAGGTGAGGTGAGGTGAGGTGAGGTGAGGTGAGGTGAGGTGAGGTGAGGTGAGGTTTTATCATGTTGGCATACTGAGCCTACTCGTCGCAGTATGACATGAATATCTCAGGCGTGTTCCTACGTGGAAGCAGTAAAAGTCGACCAAAGTCTGGCGGTGTGTACGTACGTGGAAGCTGTAGAAGCCAAGTACAGTCTGACAATGTAAATTAACGTGCATAGTGGCAGTAAAGCCAGCCATAGTCCATATAGTGTACCATAGGTTCCCGTGCTTTTTCAGCTGAATAAGTGTGTTTATGACGGGTTCCATTAATGGGGCAGGATACGCAATTATTCTCGCGAACACCTTGTATGATAACTATTTGATTCCATCGAAACAGTATATATCTGTGATCTAGAATTAGTCCATCCTCTGACTGAAATAACTGGCGCGCCTTAACGTAATGACAATCTCGCCAGATAAGATAAGATAAAACAAACGCGAGTCCATGAAATGTTTAAAATTCGGTAAAAGCGATATCTTCCGTGGATGACAGTTTGGAATAATCTAAATACTTTTCAAACTCACAGTTGAACCAATTTCTGCCTTTCCTCTTCAAGGAGATTTCTTGTGCAATGTCAAACCTTGGCGCATACGTATTTTGGTCAGTGTCGGAATGTGATACGATACGTCCTGGGGATAATTTATCAAGATCAATGTCAGTATCAAATGAATTATTCAATAACAGGTGAAACATGCAGTTATTCTGAAGAAGTGGCGAAGAAAGGGCAGCAGGATTTGTGGAGTGGCTTTAAAAGTACTGCGGATCTCAGTGCATGCCAATCCTTCTGTGGAAGCCAGTCAGGTTGTGTAGCGGGAGAATTCAACAGCCATAGCTTTTCCTGCTACCTGTACAACGAGGTGCCGATGCTCTCTGATGACACCCAGACAACGTTCTTTCAGCGAACGTGTGTTCCAGGTAAGGACAATGTCATGTTTCCGAGAAATACATGCAGGCAATGAAGCTTTTAATAGACAATACACTCTCATAGGTCGCTTCATATAGACGCTCGAGGATCAATACGACGGCCCAATATGGGATTTGAGAGGACATGTTCTGCTTTACAATCACTTTTGTGCGTGATTCCATTCCTTACATTGCAATCACAACATGGCGATGTCATCAGACTGCGTTAGAGAGTGGATCCTTTTGGGTATGCTCTTTTCTCGATCTCCTCAACTGGCACTAACTGGGAACAATTAGGCAGTCACTTAATGTGTCATTACAAGGTTGTTTTATTTTGGTCTGGATGTAGGTCCATGGTCCAAATTGTCCTCGGCAGATTACACTGGACCCTGTGTGCCAACGAGGACACCAAGCCAATACATTATTTAAAGCAGTGTTGCACGAACCCTTCAACATGACTCGTTATCGAGTGGATGTGGTATTGGACGGTGAGACAAATCGTACGTGGGTGTCGTTCAAATAGCGTTTGATAACATGGAATATGTTTAATTATTCTAAATTGACAGTTGTCATATTGCACACGCCCACGTGTCAAAATCAAAATGGTTCCAAATTACATGTGTAAATAGTACGATCCTGTTATGGGTGTCGGTAGAACCATGACGCTAGTTGGGTGCAAGCTGTTGACGAAGTCGTGACGTTAGCTTGAGTTGAACGTCATGCAGGTGAAGATTGAGCCAAAGTGCTGGGTTGAGGCGAATGTTTGAACAGTGACATTCGGACAGTGGTGTCAGTTGACTGTCTTTCGCTAGTTCAGTCGTGACGTTGGTTTGAACCGAACGGGTGGTGGTTAAGCCTTGACGCATTGTTTGAACTGAATGTTTTACGGGTGGTGGTTAAGCCTTGACGCATTGTTTGAACTGAACGTTTTACGGGTGGTGGTTAAGCCTTGACGCATTGTTTGAGATGAACCTTTTACGGGTGGTGGTTAAGCCATGACGCCGGTTCGACGTGAACGTTTTACGGGTGGCGGATGAGCCTCGTTATAAGAAGAGACCTTGTAATCGATGTTGGGAGACGGAGATGAAGCAAGGTATGTTGCTCTGCATGGGTTGTGCATGCATTTGGTACCTACTACAAACACTGTCTTGAAGTAGCTCTTTACTGTGCGTTCTCAATAATAGTTCTTCGAAACCAAAATCTAAACAAATATGGTTTGATATCACTCATTCACTCTGGGTAGTACATCCATGTAGTTCTCGATGCTTTCTGTAGGACCAGGATGGTCCAGGCGCCTAAGGGACCGTGGTGCAGAGTTGAATACCTTCCGTGTGCCCGAATCCACTGACCGTTGTTTCCAATCCGTTTCCTCACACACTTAGCGGTGTGCCTACAGAGGAACATAGTATTGAAATTCCAATGAATTGACCAGTATTCTGATCAATTAAACATCTCAAGAATCACTGTGTTCTCTCCTATACTGTGAAACATCGCAAATAAGAGAGGACCAGTTCTCAGTAGCATTATTTGAATTAACAAAATACTGAACCATGTTAGTGGAGTGATATGCTGAATATATTCTTAAAACCCGGGTGACATGAATAAGACTGGGAATAAGTAAAAGTTTAATGTGTACAGTAAAGAGCTGCTTGAATGCCTGAGTCAGTGTTCACCCTGCACAGTGTTAACACATGGATGAACGGTTCCCGCAGTATCCCGCTTCTATACGTTCGTTAACGCTTGTAATGTTGTCCAATGTGCTGGTGGGTGGTTGATACACAGTGTTAACACATGGATGCACGGTTCCCGCAGGATCCCGCTTCTATACGTTCGTTAACGCCTATAATGTTGTCCAATATGCTGGTGAATGGTTAATACACATCGTTAACACATGGATGAACGGTTCCCGCCAGATCCCGCTTCTATACGTTCGTTAACGCTCTTGTAATGTTGTCCAATGTGCTGGTGGGTGGTTAATACACAGTGTTAACACATGGATGCACGGTTCCCGCAGGATCCCGCTTCTATACGTTCGTTAACGCCTATAATGTTGTCCAATATGCTGGTGAATGGTTAATACACAGTGTTAACACATGGATGCATGGTTCCCGCAGGATCCCGCTTCTATACGTTCGTTAACGCTCTTGTAATGTTGTCCAATGTGCTGGTGAATGGATACACAGTGTTAACACATGGATGCACGGTTCCCGCAGGATCCCGCTTCTATACGTTCGTTAACGCCTATAATGTTGTCCAATATGCTGGTGAATGGTTAATACACAGTGTTAACACATGGATGCACGGTTCCCGCAGGATCCCGCTTCTATACGTTCGTTAACGCTCTTGTAATGTTGTCCAATATGCTGGTGAATGGTTAATACACAGTGTTAACACATGGATGCACGGTTCCCGCAGGATCCCGCTTCTATACGTTCGTTAACGCCATAATGTTGTCCAATATGCTGGTTCCCACATCGTTAACACATGGATGCACGGTTCCCGCAGGATCCCGCTTCTATCTATGTTGTCCAATATGCTGGTGGGTGGTTAATACACAGTGTTAACACATGGATGCACGGTTCCCGCAGGATCCCGCTTCTATACGTTGTTAACGCCTATAATGTTGTCCAATATGCTGGTGAATGGTTAATACACAGTGTTAACACATGGATGCACGGTTCCCGCAGGATCCCGCTTCTATACGTTCGTTTACGCTCTTGTTATGTTGTCCAATATGCTGGTGAATGGTTAATACACAGTGTTAACACATGGATGCACGGTTCCCGCAGGATCCCGCTTCTATACGTTCGTTAACGCTCTTGTAATGTTGTCCAATATGCTGGTGGGTGGTTAATACACAGTGTTAACACATGGATGCACGGTTATACGTTCGCGCTCTTGTTATGTTGTCTAATGTGCTGGTGGGTGGTTTATACACATTGTTAAATCATGGACGCATGGTTCCCGAAAGATCCCACTGATAAACATTCGTTAACGCCCTTGTGATATTGTCCAATGTGCTGGTGGGTGGTTTATACTCATTGCAACCTACATGCACTGAACCATCTTATTAACTTGACGTTTACGAAAGAAGAGGACTTTAATGTTACATCTTGTGTAACTGAGCTATACCTTTTTCATCATACCACATTACGTTCTACAAGTTTATCCATTTCTAGCGGTTGGAGAAATGCTTATTTATATGGACTTGGTGATATTTATTCACAGTGATACGATTTGCTCAGCTGCCCTAAGTTTCGTTTGATACACCTCCATGAAATCATGCATAGTCCACAACACTTTTACGTAATACCGTTTATGTGAGGCTCGGAGCTTCTCAGTCAAGTGAACTCTCAAAATGTAAACTGCAAACACATCCACATTCAGTGGTATCAGTTGTTGTCCACCTCTCAGAAGGTGTCAAGAGTGTGTCAGTGGAACAATGCACATCCGAATAAACAGAATTGCAGTTGCGGTGTCAAGATTTGTTGCTTCGGGCACATTTTGCGCCGGAAGGACCAAAAAAGAAAGAGTTGTCGTTATTAATACTTTGTCATTCCAATGTGTCTTTAGTATTTTAAAGTGTCACTTGAGGTCCATTCATATTTTGAGTCATAATTCCTTGTGCATTGTTGCTTTCCTCAGGAGTGCCAAAAACCTGTGATCGAGTGTGGCAAATTGCTCATTTTTGTGACATCCATATTTGATTAACAATAATTTGAACAAGATATCTTTAGGCTACCTTATAGCGTGTCTTATCAGTAAGTACAATCATAAAGTAATCAGAACGAAAATCACTTGAAGAGAAATAATTACGAAAAGACGAGAATGTTTGGATATATTGGATACATCAAGCAGACTTTTACACAACACAGATATACTAATAAGCTTCATGTACAAGAATAAATCACCAGAGCATAATCAAAATTGATTATCCACGCCACTGGGCGAAAAAGACAAAACAGCTGTCAAAACTTGTATGAACAGAATGCTGCAAGTCAGTGACGTCACCAGGTCTCCCAAAAATACGGTCATCATATCCTGCTCTTCCTGTAGCACGTCTCACACATAGTGTTCTCTTGTTGGTCCAACGCCATTGAGCCTGAAACCGTCTCTGCCAAGACATGTTCCTATCAGGTGACAACATTGGTACTGAAAATGACCTTTCCCCATATATACTGTATATTTGCAAGTCATACCTGTTTCGTCTTTGTCACAATACGCCCGATGTGTTTACAGCTGTTTATCCAGACTCTGCTATGCTGATATTTGCATATTGCGCCTAACAAAGGGACACTACCAACCACCGACTGGTTTAAAGTTACCGTATATAGTTACTGGACTCAACCTTAGTGTGAGGGTTTATGGCCGTTTGAAGGTATATTAGCTTTTATGTGGATGGGCGGATTTTGTGTTACTTTTTCGCGGAGTACGCCAATTTGAAATACGTTGGCGCATTGCACTGAAGTCACCATTGCAAACACCATTTCGTAAGAAACATGCTTGTTCCTAGCAATCTGGTCTGTCTCACAGCCAATGAACCGCTTTACTTTCCCCACTGCTTATACCTCCCTGCAATGCGGCTAAAAATATAAATGAAGCAAGTCTAGATTCCCTCAATTTCCCATCTGACGGGGGCTCTGTTCAATTCAAATGGGTTTATGTGTTACTATCAAAATTATATATATTCAGAGACTAGGCAATAGTCTACAAGCAATCATGAACGCGGACTTTATTATCATTATAAATAACATGGATCATACCGTCTCGGCAATTATATTACCAATATCGATCGACAATGATTACCAGTATCAAGCATTATTGATTACCACAGATTGCCATGATGATTCAATCAATATTAATAAGTAAACAAATTATAATGAGAGGTATCTGTCCTACGGTTAGATATTTCATCATTTAAATTGATGCATCTTCTGTTAATGTAAGCATTTTGAATTTATATCAGACACGACCACTGCAGGAACAACCGTTACAGCAACGACATCAGATGCTACGACAGTTGCAACGCGTACGTCGACAGGTATACACAACTTTGTGTATGTGCTGGTACAGGCTATGCGGCCATGATGTAACACTATCTTGCTACTGTGTACCCCATCTTGTTATTAGTAATATAAATAAAATACACCTACACTGTTTTTTTGTATCTAGTAAATAAAATATATTTATGGTTGGAATGTAAAGCGAAAACAATTTTTCTCATCATCACTGATTATTTGTATTAGCAACAACGACCGCAGCTACCATTGTAACGTCAACTACACCCACACCTACAACACGTACAACGTCTGCATTTTCAGGTATGATGAAAATGATGATGATGATGATGATGATGAAGATGATGATAATCATTACTTTGATACTTACACATGTGTAGCAATTCACGAGAATGATTTACACTACATGGTTCCGTTTTTGTTTATGTAAACATTTGTGCCTTTGCATGTGTTTGTGACGGATAGTGACACATGCTTATGATTATATTATCATAATGGAATCGTAATGTCAAGTCTAGGATGACATTTCCTGTAAAGGAGAGAATTACGCCGCTTTTATTTATGCATCTAAATACCATTGATGCCCAAAGACAATAAATTAATTCATTTGGTGGAGGGTTGGTGAACTGAGGTTCAATATCCCGATCAAGATTATTATCTTCAACAGGTGCCTCCAACGTGTGTGTGTGTGTGTGTGTGTGCGTGTGCGTGTGCGTGTCTGTTCGCGTGCGTGCGTGTGTGTTTATATTTGTGTATATATGCTTGTACTTGTCCTGACCTAAAGTTATTAAGCTGTTTACTTTAAGGTTTACGGGTACTATAAATATATAAGCTGAACCCACGGCAAATATGTAAATAGGCAAACTAAGGTAATGGCGATTGCCTTGCTTTGTTGATTATTGCTAAATGGAATTATCATTGCCGCTTCTAGTCGCTACCTCGATAATAAGTGACCTCTCCCTTAGATACATCTTTGATGCAATATATATACATGTATGTCAAATCTATTATGCCGATGTCTTTTTAACGAAAAATAACTTTTCTGTATTGTTTTCATTACACTACATAGTTTTCACTGAATATGGAAAAAGGTTTTTGTCGCTTTTTTAATCCATCTATTTGTCAACAGCTAGATCCAATCATCCATCCAATCATCAATTCCTCCATCCAATCATGCTGTCCACCATCTAATCATCTGTCCACTCTTCCCCACTGCATCCTTCCACGGTGTTCTGTATGCATGTAACCACTAACCAAAGTCGTATGCAGCACAACTATACCTGTATGCAAGAGTGGCCTTGCAGAACCTTTATACAACTCATCTGTGTAAAAATCCGCTACAAATGTAACTGCGGTGTTTTATTATCAATGCTGTCACCAGGCCATCTATCATCTAAGCCTTTCTTTGTCAAGTTTCACATTACTGTTGATTAAACTAGATAAATGACAACATAGATTATGGTAATGACAGAACTATTAAAGTAACAGTCCAATAGTGTTTGATTTTACATGTTAAATTGACGTTAATATGTAAGTTATGGTTAATTTAGAAACGATGTTGAAGTTTAGAAATGAAAGAACAATAACTGTAATAATACATTTCATTGTTTATTCTAATAACTATGTGGCATGTCCATTAATATAATGAAAAGTGACCTTTTTCAGACGCAACGACAACGACGTTAGCATCAACAACCACTCCAACAACCACTCCAACGACTACACCAACAACCACATCAACAACCGCCCCAGCATCATGTAACATGACAAGATCGTCAGGTACGACAGGTGTGTCAGGTTTTACAAGTTTTCTCTCCGCAATGTTGAATCCTGCAATAGCATCTGTCTGTATATCATGACATGCCGAGCCACCACATACAGACTAGGTATCTGCACATTGTACCCCGGGACGTCTACTGCAGCATCTGGGGACATCGTCGACTTCGTCAGGCATGCATGCAATAACGGTACGTGTCAATCTTCATTTCCGCCTTCTTATATTACGTTTCTGGTACCACTAAGAAGGAAGTTCACCTGACCGTTAGTCCGAGTCTAGTAACAATCTAGACGGTCAAGTTGTTTAGCCATCAAATACAGTAAACTGTTATAATAGCCACTAGTTGCAGTCTAGTTGGGTATGACAAATAGAAGCTACTCCTGGTAAGGGAAGTAAAACAGACTCCAACGGGTAAGACAACCCCGTACCCATGCTAGTACACGCTCATGTGAAACATATTATTCCGTTTAAACAGCCCTTACTTTAATACAAAAGCACAAAATAAACCGAGAGTGTTTTTCCACACGTTCTGAATCTCCCACATGACTGGGGTTCCTTTTCAATGGAACTCATTGTTTCTGTCAAAATTGTATATTATCAGAGACAAAGCGTTGGTCTTCCTGCCATGCCCCAGTTGTCGCTAGTTACTGTACAGAGTAGCGTCCCTTGGGCACGTCAGAAACCTGTGATCCTCGTTTCGAATAACGGTTCGGGGTTCTTATGTTTCTGGGTTTGTCTAGGTTTATAGTTTGTATACTGTGAAACACGGTATCAAATCTAACTCACTGACTAAAGCAAAATGTACAGTTGCAACAACAGCTGCAACAACAGCTGCAACAACAGCTGCAACAACAGCTGCAACAACAAACCCAGTATCCCCGAACGTCATAGTTGCTGTCTACCGCGGAAGAATTTACCTTTAAAGCATACACCATCTACAGGCAACGGACGCTGGGGCAGCCCACTGGTTAAAGCGTTCGCACGTCACGCCGAAGACCCGGGTTCGATTCCCCACATGGGTACAATGTGTGAAACCCATTTCTGGTAACACCGCCGTGGTATTGCTGGAATTTTGCCAAAAGTGGCGTAAAACGATATTCACTCTCTCATCTACAGGTACATTCTGCTGCATAAGCTCCAGCACAACACAGAGGGCTAGTGGCAGTCCCCTTCTCTCCATCAGTACTACTGCATCTTTAGACGGATGTGAAGCGATCTGTCTCGCAGTGGCTGACTGTCAGGGCACATACTACAGCGACAATTCCTGCTTCTTCTATACAACTACATCAACGACATTTGGCGGAAGAATCGTTTTCTCCAGGAAGACCTGTCCTGGTAACAACTGAGAGTAGCCATTTTGGTTTATTTTACGCTCCACTCAACAGTATTCTATCTATATAACGTCGGTATATAGATAATCGAGTCTGGACCAGACAACCCGATGGGTGACATCATGAGCATTGATCTACATAGTTAGGATGCTATGACATGCCGTGGGCCTCCCCACAAGATACCCTTAACTTTGGTTTGCTGTAGATATACCCGGATCTTGATATATATATAGTACGTCATGTTCTGTTTGAAAGTCTGACGTCAAACGTCTTCTTAAAATGCACCGGATATATTTCGTTGAAACATTTAACACTGTTAACGCAAGGTACGACTACCCGGAATAGAAGGGACACATTTGACCAAAACATTACAAACGTAAAAAAAACATGTACTAGGCTTCAGAATTTACGTAACAAACATACTGGTATCCATATCAAACACATAACCAGTTATAGATATATGCATGATTTCGTACAAATATGCCCATGTTTACATGATGTTCAAATACAACACCCAATAGTAAACAAACATATTTCTTTCAGTCCAAACTAATCCTGGGAACCTTGCATTCGATGGTGCCTGCAAAGGTATGACAACAATTAGCACTATCTGTGGTAGGTAAAGTGGCGTTGATGACAGGTTATATATTCAATACTGACTTAAACGGTCAGAGTGTTTCTGGCAAAGTATGAACTTGAAGAAAATGTGTTACTCTTTCTTAAGTTCAAATAGCAGGAATACCCGCTCTGTTTCCTCTAGAGTCTGTTCGCTCAAGGTTTTCTACAGTTTAGAACTGAAGAAGTTCGTTCGTCCATTTTCATATAATGTTCACAGCTCTATTTCCTTATTCACCAAACGAAATGTGTTTCTAAGGACACTAAGACTGGTTATTCCTTTGCACTATCGTTCTGTATTACATTCAACGAAAATACTGAAACATTAAAATATTAACTGTACATCTGCTCTAAGATTACGAACATTTATAATGAGCAATATTTTCGGATGAGCTAAACAGTGAGCGAATATACCAGCCATTTAAATGCACCTCTTGCATCACCATAAACAGAAATGATGATTGATGTGATTTCTATAATTATATTAAAATTTATATTTCTTGAAATGGTTCAAGACAAGGCCCTCATGTCTTTACAAGATAAGTAGTGGGCGGACATATACCACGCACACACAACGTCATTCTTAAGAAATTGATTCTATTTCAGAACGCCCCAAATGGACATATACTAGGTATCTTCAGTACAGTTATAGTTTTTGTTGCCACGTTCTGCATCTGTTATAATGGTGTCTGTGTTGTTACAGGTGCTATGTTCTAACATCAGAGGCCTGTGGATGTATCTCACACTTCCAATAAACACATAATACAATACGTTTTACTAATATAACGTAACCGTATCATCGTTACTCGGCTAATCTCATGTGTCGTGTTATGAAATCACAGTGAGTGAGTGAGTGAGTGAGTGAGTCTTCCTCCGCTTTTCACAATATTCCATCAATGTCACCACTCTAGAACGGGCCTCAAGCACTCTGCCTGTGTTGGGAAACGAACCGTGGTCTTGTGCATGACGAAAGGAAAACGCTTTACCAATAGGGTACTGACTTTCCTGGTAAATGGCTGTTGTCGTGTCCTTGTGGTTCTCGTCACACTGTGTCTTGAAATACTTACATTTAACACCTCCATTTAACTAGTTATATCTCAATAACCTAACGTGGACGAGAGGTTCGTATTTAACACCATAACTATAGTTAGTAGTTAAAAGACGAATTAATTAACTACTTGAATGGAAAATTTCGAATGACCGAAAGCTTACCCTTTCGCTCAATACGTTGTTTTAATAAATAGGTAAATCTATTATCAATGATGGCATTCAGAGAAATTTTGGAAAGAAAGTATACACTTACATGAAACATTACTAGGCTGTTAACTCTCTCACCGAGCATTGCGAACTTAGGTTTCGAAACACAACTACTCGTGTACCCGTATGACATCGTTCATTATTGAATAACCATTCCTTAAAACTAAAATGAAATATGGGTGTATACCTTATTTTGCCCGGCAGTGTAGTTTGTTACTAAGACCGACATACACGTCTATGTGTTGAGCATGTTAATAGCATGTAAGGTGTTGTTTCAGTTTCTACCACAACAACAACGTGTACATCATGCGGCGGTATGTACCGGCATGTGGTAAACATTTAATATGCAAAGAACATGTTGACAGCGCACCTGATGAAGCAATGAACACTGACATCATACATAACTAACATCGAACACGTACACAGCAAGAGAATGCTACCCCACCGCCAGATAAAGCAATGAACACTGACATCGATGATACAAAGAGATCTAGAGACAGAGAGAGAGTCAGAGAGATACTTTACCCTTTCCACCTTCCCTCCCTTACAGCAAAAGTATTGAACTTGGTATTTAGCGTCAATAAAATCACTGTTTGCACCTACTATATTCCATTTCGCACTCAGGTCTTCAAGTAACATCGCTCCTAATTAAAAAGCATGTATGTTTTCTAAATATTAACACGATTTTGTTTTCATTTCAGATACCAACAACTCAGCTTCTTCTCGTATTATCCATGGCATTATTATCGGTACTTAAATATTCTGCTAAATGTGAAGATAGTACCATCATCATCATCATCATCATCATCATTGCCGTTGTCGTTTTTATGCTCTGGCAACATTATTGTTAATTTGATATTGTTAATATCATAATGTAAAATGGTTAAATCTTTAATTAAATTTATAAAATTTATGACATAATTAATCCAAGTGTATATAAAAACCAGATTGCAGCACAACGTTGATTTTAACACGATGATGTGAACACAATAATTACAATTAAACACATATTTCCTCGTTCGATTAAGAAATGCGCATTGTACATATGAAAATAAAAGTAACAAAGAATTTGTTGTTTCTTTCAGCGTTCCTGATTATACATATTTCTTGGACCCTTTTCTAGTGCTCTTTCTTTTCGAAGAACTCTTGTGACTGACTGACAAAATGGTGATGACTTTGATACAGCGGTGGAAGGAAGAATTCGGGACAATCTGACAAAAGGAATAAAAACTAATGAGTAAATGTGTAGCGCAGAACCTTGATGTGTGTAGTTCAGAAATCCCTCTGCCCTAGGTATTTACTGGCACTTAATGTAGAATACCAAAGAGCATGGAGCACAGCTGTGCTGCATCAGATAAACTACATCTACAAATACAATATCGAAAGTAACGAATCTTTCTCACCCGTAATCACTTATTTACAAGGAGAAAATCCATACAGTTCTTAGCTTTATACCAGCTTTAAATATTTACTATATATTATTCATGTACAATGTTCCCTCTTTGTATTGTTTCTTTTTTCACAGGTTATGGATGGTCTAAGGTAGCATTATTCACTGTACTGAGTTGCGGCCATTAGAAATACCAAAATCCATTGCGTGTTAATCGTTTATTAACAAAAAACGTGCTATATAGTGTAAGAAATACATAGGTCTTAGGCGGTTACCAGTTAGGCTAAAAGACAGGAAAGTATAAATTACCTTTCTCATTGAGTAAACTAGAACTGTTAGAATTAGCTTTCAATATATAAAATTGTTGCATGAAATTGATGCATTTACAAAAACAGCGATGATGAGACTGCCTCTTGTTTTCATTAGCAAAAATATCCGGTTGCATTAATTATGGATCTGATGTAGGAATCTCTGCCGCAGAACCTCTATGTCTGAACATATATGTCTGGTTCATCTAATGATGTGTATGTTTGTGCAAGCACGTGTACTGCAGCTGAGGACACGCAGGCGTGCCCCTGCTTAAGACATTGTAGAATCGTTGTAAGTATTGCTGTGCACATATAAATATTGTTGTTATAACTATTACAGACTATATATAGAACAAACTTTATGGATAACAACTTCTTTTTATTCGTGAGTGCGACGTTTCGATACAGATTCTTGTACCGTTGTCAAGCATAATGGAACGGTACAAGAATCTGTATCGAAACGTCGCACTCACGAATAAAAAGAAGTTGTTATCCATAAAGTTTGTTCTATATTGTACTTCCCAACTTCTAAATGCCACTCAAAGAAGTTATCACAGACTACTCCCAAACTGCTTAAAGTGCATATCAGTTATGTATATTTTTGTGCCTTTTTATCTTGACTATCCCTCTGTTGTTTACAATGATGTGCAAAAATATCTTGACATAGTAATGGTTCAAGATGGATTTGCAGGCGTTTGATCACGGAAAAATATACACTTAGTCAACACGTCAACGGTGAATCGTGAACAGGGTATTTAAGCCATACATTCATGGATCAATAATACAATGTATGAGACGACCAGTAAATACTATAAATAATACAATTACTGAAGATCGAGTATTGCCTGCCTACGTAAAGGCTCTTCACACAGCAATACGTGCACATGGAGGTATTTCCCTTGGCACGTATGTGGCGAGGCTGTTCTCGGCATATTCCGTTAAGAACATACCAACAAGGAAGTAGTGATATACCACGATGCTGCTGTAATCCGCCGCTCTATACAGCTGGTCGCATACACGGCCGTATTCCACGGAAGGTTATTACACTTGGAGTAAACTGCGTATATGCTTATAACGATCTGACTGATATAACGATCTGATTTTTTATCCCCGGCCACTTGCTCACAATACTTATAACGATGTATGGTTATAACGAACTAAATTAGTGGCCATTTGAGTTCGTTATAACTGTAGGTTACTGTAAGTGTTTCACTTCGAACTGACGACAAAGGCAAATGGAAGGAAAGCTGATCTTCCACACATCGTGGTTAACTTCGAACTGACGACAAAGGCAAATGGAAGGAAAGCTGAGCTTCCACACATCTTTTGTTTTATGCACTGTCAACTTGCTGCTCTACTTATTATCAATGGGAGCGGTACGGTAGCGTAGTGGTTAAAGCGTTCGCTCGTCACGCCGAAGACCCTTGTTTGAGTCCCAAGGGTACAATGTGTGAAGCTCATGCATCATTTATGGTGTCCCTCGCCTTGATATGCTAGGATATTGGTAAAAGCGGCATAAAGCTAAACTCACTCACTAATTGTTATCAACGTTCCTGGCATTATCCTGTTTATGTAGTTATTAACGATATGTCGAGGTTCCTATTCCAGATAGGAGTCTTATAGCGTGCGCTCTTCCATAGCCATGTACAAATGTATCCGCTTGGAATACTGTTTTACATGTGACCACTCTCATGAAAATTTTACGCATATTCCAACTTGTCAGGAGTGTTAGATATAGACTAAAATGTGTTGTTTAAACGTTTTTGAGAATGTGTAATTACTGTGTGTGTTTATTTCGATAAAGGGGCCACCGGCCCATTATACACGTAAGTTACTGCCTCAATACGTTGACGAGCGCCATAACATTCTCATATACAGGTGTTGTTTTTAATGCAACATTATATATAATGGACATTGATAGCATCAACATGATGCAAAATATCTGTTTCGTTTCTTCTGAGCTAAATCTTTTTTTTGCAAGATTAGTTATGATATAATTGTTTTTGATGTGAATAATGAGATAAGCTTATTGTACGATGGAAAAACATAATACAATTCTTGCAATAGATCTGATCGCAGGTCATGATAAAATGGACATTCATGACAGAAATGTAATTCAGATTCAATAGTGGGTCTAACATTGTTATTTCAGATTGTATAACTTTAGACATTGTCACTAGAGCCATCTGCTGTAACACGAGACAAATGTAAAATATGTAAATACACTTTGAATAAAGTATTTTGCTGTTTCTTCTCAGGTATGTAGTGTGTTGTTTCAAAGTTTGCTTTTGCAAATTCTAAACAGGATTCTTGCTCCTTAATCTGTTTTTTTAATAATTGGTTGAACAGTTGGAAAATAATCCGTAATGTTTTTTGTTGGATGTAACTTCTTGTAGATCACACTTATATACACGTGCACAGGTATACAGTTGCGACTGCGTTCTGTTAGGCCGTTGAACTGAAATGAACCGGTGAAACCCCAAAATGGATTATTCCTTAAAGTTTGTCATTTTTTGTGAGGTGGAATATGCACCCGAAACATGTGAAGTCCGGAATGATTTGTTTACAGATATTGTTGGGATTATTGAGTGTCCGGAGTAATGAAACATATAAAGGTACATAAATAGTCTCTCTTTGGGTGACCGTCACGTTAATGATATTCAACTGTAAGTTGTGTCTTCTGTTCAAGTTGTTTGTGCTGCTGACAACCACTCTCAATTGTCAGAAACTATTTCTATAGAACAATGAAATTTGTGGTATATATGTTTTGGATCCTTGAATGTTCTGTTTGATGGTGAGTTAATGAATGAATAGACGCTACACCGTTTTATATTGTATTAAATTTAAATTTGATTTTGTAAAAATGACGTGACTGTGTAACCAGCATTCTGTATTTTTGTGTTCTAGATCCAACTACGACAACGGTAGCAACTACTACGTCGACAAGTACATCTACAACGCAACCAACTACTACTTCCACCACTACTTCAACAACAACTGAATCAACAACGTCGACGTCGACAACAACGTTACCAACAACAACGACTTCTACAACTACGACAACCACAACACCAACGACAACACCGACGACTACAACTACAACCTCAACGACGCCAGCATCAACCTCTATATCCACAACCACAACACCTACGACAACATCACCGTCTACAACTACAACCACCACAACAACAACGACAATGTCATCAACGTCTACAACTACAACCGGCACAACACCAACGACAACATCATCAACATCTACAACGATACCTACAACCACAACACCCTCTACAACAGCATCCACATCCATATCTACAACTACAAGTACGGCAACACCGTCAACTACATCGACGACAACCTCTAGCACAACGACAATACCAACGACTACTACCATACGTACTACAACGACACCAACGGCAGAGATCACATCATCATCTACAACGACATCGACGCAGGATGTATCGTCAACGCCATCAAGTTCAACGACTTCTACAGAATCATCAACCACGGCAGTGTCAAGTACCGTCTCTGACCCTGGTGAGTAACAAATAAACTTCATGTACCACCATTAACACAACATAATTCACTGAGTTCCATCCTCAGATATTTCCAAGATGGATTAAAAACACAAGTACCGTACGAATTGTGTGAAGTTTTGTTTACTAATGTTTGGACTTTGCATTCTCACACTAATATCGTACGAATTGTGTGAAGTTTTGTTTATAAATACTTGGACTTTGTTTTCTTACATAAATATCGTACGAATTGTGTGAAGTTTTGTTTACAAATACTTGTACTCTGTTTTCTCACACAAATATCGTACGAATTGTGTGAAGTTTTGTTTACAAATACTTGTACTTTGTTTTCTCACACAAATATCGTACGAATTGTGTGAAGTTTTGTTTAGAAATACTTGCACTTTGTTTTCTCACACAAATATCGTACGAATTGTGTGAAGTTTTGTTTACAAATACTTGTACTTTGCTTTCTCACACAAATATCGTACGAATTGTGTGAAGTTTTGTTTACAAATACTTGTACTCTGTTTTCTCGTTTGCAGACAGTCTTCACATAGCAGGCATTGGGGTTATAGCAGCCGCAGTGACGAGCGGGACCTTTATTATAGCCTTCTTCCTCACCCTAATATGTATACTTATATTTGGGTAAGTACAAGTTGAACCTCCCCTTACATCACCATGTAAAAGATCAGTCAAATAACATCAAACGGCGTTTCTTTCTTCGAACCATTGTTTAACAACGTTTTATTACAATTTAAATAGATATTACTACCGTAACAGTTAGTTACATAACACACTGGCGCCCCTATAGGGAACACCTGGTGTTTTCACTGATCCGTCACTATTCGTCACTATTTTACCTGTTACCCTAATGGAATCAATGCATCGCATAACCGGGACTGACGTTGACGTTCTATATCATGTAACCAATATCCGTAGGCGCATCGATACTGTTTACTTGAACAAATACTCTTTCTAGTTATTCATAGTAGATTTAATAATAATGATGTTTGCTTGTTTTTTGTTTAACGCCGAACTCAGCAATATTCCAGCTATTGGGCGGCGGTCTGTAAATGGTCGAGCCTGGACCATACAATCCAGTGATTAACATCATGAGCATCGATCTCCGCAGTTGGGATACGATGACATGTGTCGAGAAGTCAGCGCGCCTGACAACTCGATCCCGTTAGCACCTTCGGACAATTATTGGTTACTGACCGGGATCGTCACAGGTTGAGAATGAATGAACGAAGGAACGAAGGAACGAATGAATGAATATAGATAGATAGATTAATGAAGTGTTTGTTCCTCTTGATAAATACGTCGCTGCTTTTGGTAGTTGATCGAGTGTGAAATGTAGAGTGTTGAATGACCCCGGTGTTCTGACATTGCTGCCCGATCCTCACCAGATAGCATCATATGTCTTCTCATGTTCCAGCGCCAGAAGGCGTAAAAGGACCCCCCCTCGCGAGGACACGGAGAGGTCATCTTCCGGCTGGAACTACAACAGCAAACAAGCACCTGCCGTCATCACAACAGACTACATCATCTACAGGGGACCAAACTCCATATCGGTGTCCAAGGAAAATATCTCCATAAAACAACACCCTTCGCCCCATGATGACCACAGGCACCACCGGTTAAAACCTTCACCCAGACTGAACTATTTAGATTACCAGGCTTATGTCGGTCAAGGATCGCCACCAACAACGAGGCCTGGATCACCAAGTAGACGTGTGCGAGATGCGAGTTTTAACACCAAGTTCTGAGAGATTGTAGATGTGCAGAGTAAACCCTGTTCCTCCGGGTGCAAGTTTTAACACCAAGTTCTGAGAGACTGTAGGTGTGCATAAACCCTGTTCCTCCGGGTGCAAGTTTTAAGACCAAGTTCTGAGAGACTGTAGATGTGCATAGTAACCCCTGTTCCTCTGGGTGCGAGTTCTAACACCAAGGTCAGAGAGAATACAGCTGAACACAGTAAACCCCGTTATTCCGGAACCTCGTCTATAGAACGATTTCTGTAGCAAACATATTTGTCCATGAGATATTATTACACGCCCAGCGTACGATAATCAATGCAATTATTTATTTATTTTTCACGAGGAATTTTACCGGATTTATGGGGGTTCAGTTCAACTCAATGACAGAGATCTCATGTGCAGGAATGCGTATTATGCAGGGACATCTTTCGAGATTACAATGGAAAGTGTTGAAGCATGAAACATATCCAACGTTGACTATCCTTGAGTATTACTTATGAATAGATAATATTGAACTTGCATTTAGAAACATTTACATACTGGAAAATATAAATAGTTCTAAAAGGAAGTTTAACAGTGATAAAATCACATTATCATTGAAATGTTTTGTGTATTTGGGAGGGATAAACACATGTATTTATTGATGCCAGCATATCACTCATTAACTACATACGTTGTCTAATTTATCGAGTCCCCATAGTGCAACAATATGTGATATTTTTTTGTCTCGTGTACATATGTTAACCTATTGTTTTATAAATTTGACATACCATTTGACATACTGATGGTGCTGATGATTTGAGAAGCATGTTTTGTCAATCTGTATTATAGCCGTAATGTTGATGATGTAGGGAAACATCCTTGAACTCGATGTGTTTTCAAATGTCGAGACGCCCTCTCATTAATGGGGTTCTGATGTATTTTAATTTTGTGTATTTTCTGTCAGTGTGTTGTTGATATATCCATGTATATTGTCTTCCCGTGCCATAGTCGAACACCACTCACAGTTATCGTATATCCCGCATATGTCTTGACACAGCTGGTGTCAGTTAGTGAGTGAGTTGGGTTTTACCCCGCTTTTAGCAACATTCCAGCAACATCACGGCGGGGGACACCAGAAATAGCTTTCACACATTGTACCCATGTGGGGAATCGAGCCCGGCGTGACGAGCGAACGCTTTAACCACTAGGCTACCCCACCGCTCCGCTTTACTTATGACTCAAAATCATTCGGTAGCCTACAGGAATTCCAGCGGCCCATTTGTAAAGCGACCCGTCAGATCAAGCAGACAGTAAACACACGGGAACATAAACTGCCGAGCAAGATTACACTTGAAAATTTCATTGGCCCAAACAAATACAAACATTACGAGGCTTAACATAGTCACCGAACACTTAAAACTTTAGGTCCGGCGGTGGGGTAGACACGTTCGATCGTCACTGAAGACCCGGGTTCGATTCCTCACATGGGTACAATGTGTGAAGCCCATTTCTGGTGTCCCTCGCCTTGATATTGGTGGAATAGTGTAAAGGCGGCGTAAAGCCCAACTCACTCACTCACTCCAACACACAACTATGATGCCCCTATCAAATGCATCACCATCCAATAATCAAGTCTTGTTTGTCTCCTGTAGCCACCATGACACAAGGGTTTATGTTTGTTTTTAACCGACAGTTTGATATTGGCGTCATATTTAGTAATAACGCTACATTGGTATCTGTTGCAAGTTTTTCAGGTAATATATTTCGTTTTTGAATAGTTTTTTTACGCTGTCATCAATGACCTTCAATATAGTTATCTCCCCTTATCCAACAATTCTTGTCCATGAGGGGCGGTGGGGTAGCCTAGTGGTTAAAACGTTCGCTCGTCACGCCGAACGCCCGGGTTCGATTCCCCATCATGGGTACAATGTGTGAAGCCCATTTCTGGTGTCCCCCGCCGTGATATTGCTGTCATATTGCTAAAAGCGGCGTAAAACCAAACTCACTCACTCACTCTTGTCCATGAGTAGGTCTTAAACACCGACCATGTTGTTTATAAAACATGTACAAATATCATTAACACGTGTAGATGTATTTAAGGCTCCCGGATGAAGCCTGTTTTTGTACATAGACAATACTGTACAGTGTACGAACTTTTATTTATTTAATTAGAGGAGATTATACGTGCAAATGGCCTGACAAATGAGTATGTCCAATACATGCGTGTAGAGTATCTACACGGTAACCCGGACCCCTTTAAACCGGACGAGGGTAACTACTACTGAAAATAAGACTCCGTTTCTTTCATGTTAAGATACTAGTATCTCTCTTGACAAATAGTACAATGAAAGAATTGGCTGTTTCTTACCTTCATTTGAGTAGTATACATGGATATGGCTCCGTGCCTGTGATTCAATAATACTAACGTTTACAACTGAGGACGATTGGTTATATTAGTTTGTGTCTTATTCTGCGTAGTTTCCATGTGTAACTCGACCTGAAAATGTGTGCTTGTTATATAACAGCGACTGACATCGATCCACTTCCAGTCCCATCTACAGCGTTATATGTTAATTTACTCTTACCAGTAACGATTTACTTTAAATAATATCCAACATCTTTACTGGTTGAATGTTTATACTTATGACATTTTTTCAAAATGGACCAAACTTTTATTTATTATTATTCCATATTATGAAATCCAAAATTGTACAAACCAGTTCGAGTAACTTTCGTGTCAGTGTATTTTTGTGAAATATTTATGCATTATATATTTATGTATGTAAATACCCATGTATTTTTTATGCATGTAGGTATCGAATACTTATTTTTAGTCCACATGTATAGTAAAATGACTTTATCATGAAGGTACCCTCACAATGTGTTCATGGCGACCTGTTTCCAAGGTAAATCTTACAACACTGAATATATGAAAATATAAACAATATTTTCCGATAAAAAGTGCACTTGTGTTGTTTTTATTCCAAACTGTACGTGCACTCACTTGTTTGTTGTCAAAAACTATATGTTATGAAAACAGCGTGTGAAAGTTAAGTGTTAATCAAACAATGAATTAGTTGGCTCATATACATATTTTAAACTGATGTGTGCTTTCTAAATTCTGTGGCATTAAGTGGCGAATAACTGGCTATTAACTATTCGTGGTTCAGGAAAAAGAAAATAATGTATAATACTGAAACGATTACTCAGCTCGATATTTAGAATTTAAGCGTATACTTGTACGTGTGCATGTGTGTATTTTTGTCAATTTTTTAGCTGCATCTTAAAACCAGACTCACTCCATACGGTACACGGTACATACAAGTTAGAACGGATATTCAGCAACCCCTGGCTGTCTTGAGAAGCGTCTAACAGAACCGGTGGTGAGGCTCGATGGCATGATTTGTGCATGTCATCGTATCTCAATTGCGTAAATCAATGCTCTTGAAGTCAGTCACTGGATTGCCTGGTCCAGACTCGATTATCTATAGACCGCCGTTATATAGTGTCAATATTGCTGATGATTGCGGTATAAAATCTATCAAAATTGGGGACACTCAACTGTTTCTGGAGAAATGATTGTTCCGCCAAATGCCGTTGAAGTAGTTTTATCGAAGAAGCAGGATTTTTGCTGAAGTATGTGCCGTAACAGTCAGCCACAGCGAGACAGATCGCTTCACATCCGTCTAATGTTGCAGTAGTACTGGTAGGGAGAAGGGGACTGCCACCAGCCTACCTAGTCTGTCATACAGACCCTGAAGCAAACATATCCAAGAAAGCCCGAGCAAGTCTAGAAAATGAAGAAAGTCTCAGGGCTCCTGTCATTATATTTTATCTTTTTTACTAAGTGCTTTTTTCTGTAAACTATGTTCATTTCAGAGCCTAGTTATTAGTCCCTCCATTTAGTGTAAGTAAGATATATCACTCGATATGAAACCTATAGTCTCTATCTGATCCGTCAGTATCTACGACACGTAACAAGACGTGATCGTTGGGTCGAATTCGTCATCCGCAAACACCGACGAGTTTGAACTTCGATCGATTTCTTTAACACCAACTCCTAAACATTACACATTGACAAAAGTAATTAGATGCTTTTTACCTCTCTATCTACCAACAGCTTTTTGTCTGTAATCTACAGCACATTAGACAATTTGTTGAGAGTAAAAGTCCAATTCAAATTCTTGGAATGCTTTAACGTGCCAATATAAGCTTATGTCGCCATAATTATATCCTTTACGAATCATAATATATCCTATTGTGACTTTTAAACCTGCAATGTGAATGAATGCTTTGAAATTCATCTGGCCGTTGAACACTCACAAAGCCAGTCAGTTTCTATTTGAAGTTTCTTTATCCAGTGTACAGGAACACATATCCGCACAGTGAACTTTACACGTATGTTTTACATCTCCTTTCACTAGCTATTCAATGTGTTGTTGTTGTTTACAGAGGAATATTGCATGTAGCAAACCAGACACACGTTTATCTGTCCCGGTCGATTTCGCGCCATTGTGTCCAAGCTGGTAAATATATTCCAATAACAATGTGATTTGCACCGCCTTGGTGCATGTCATATACGTGCGTAGCCTTCTTCCCAATGAATGGTTTCACTTGTGTCGAGCACAATGGAGAAATATTGGATATGAAAATAGATAACGGCCGTTCACTGCAAGCAGGTTCAACCTATATTGACGAAGCTACTGCGTCAAAGCCATATAGACCTCGACAGTACATCTACAGGAAGGGTAATTTACTGTTCTATTTTATTAATTATCAGTATTGAGATGATAATGTGACGATACACAGGACAACAGTTTATCAGGGTTACTGGGTATCTGTGATATTGTGGGATATTTAACGTATTGTATTTGAGACCCGTGAAGGTCCGGGTTAGAATATTGATCTTCAGTAACCCATGCTTGTCGTACGAGGCGACTAACGGGAGGGTGGTCAGGCTTACTGACCTTTTTTTTATATTTTATTTTATTTTTCATGAAACCAAAGTCATAAACGGCGGTCATTACATAATGACATATACAAATACATGAACATAATGAGATATCCAACATACCAGGATGTAACATAGTTAGACCAGTGAAATATCAGCCTGTATAGGGTGTTGTATGTGGTGCGACACCCAACATATCATGTTTTATAGAGCGCAACATGCAGCATACAGTGTTGTATATAGCGTCACACCAGACATAGCATATTGTAGATGGGGTCACATCCAACATATGCTGTATATTGCGCAACATCCAACATAAGTTGTATAAAGTGCCATATCCGAAATATCGTATTATATATAACATATCAAACGACCTATCATGTTGTATATAGCACCATATCCGACATATCATATTGTACATAGGGCCACATCTGATCTTTCCTGCTGTATATTGCATCACATCCAACATATCGTATTGTATATTGCGGCACCTCCGACATATCATGCTGTATATAGCACAGCACCAAGCATACAATGTTGTATATTGCGGCACCTCCGACATATCATGCTGTATATAGCACAGCACCAAGCATACAATGTTGTATATTGCGCCATATCAGACATATCGTATAGTATATGGGGTCACATCCGACATATGTTGTACATAGCGCAACATCCGAGATATCATGCATTATATAGCGTCATATCCGACATATCATAAAGTATATAGGCTTTATAGCATTACATCCGACATGCCATGTTGTATATAGCATCATATACGACATGTCATATTGTTTAAAGCACCACATCTGACATATCATGCTGTATATTGCATCACATCCCGTGTATCTCATTGTCTATTGCATCACATCTGATCTATCATATTGTATAACGCACCACAACCAACATATCATGTTGTATATAGAGTCACGTCCGTCACTTGTTGTACATAGTTGTCTTATCTGACATATATTGTATATAGGTCTTATCTAACATATGTTGTATATTGTGCCACATCTGATATCATGCTGCGTCTTATGTCACATCCAATGTGTATTGTATATTGCGCCACATCCGACTTATTGTGTTGTATGTTGCGTCATACATCCGCCCTATAATATATGTTCCCAATGTTACATCAGTGCACCTACAATATATGTTAACTAATTAATCAATACATAAAGATCAAGATTTTACAAAGGCTGTTGTTGCATACACAGGTCAGGTTTGAAATACTGGGAATAATGGATGCCATTTATTTGCCAATTTCTTCATTTCATTCTTTCTTTTGGCAATGAATCTTTCAACAGAAAAAACATCTTTTAAAGTCTTTATAAAGTTATTGCATTTTGGAATGTTGTTTTTCAAAGAAGAGACATAATTGCTGAAATTATTATATCATTAAGTAATGGGATTTTACTTAAGGAACCAAAATACACCAAACATTTTGTCAAATTAACTTTTTGTATGAAATGGGTGTTAATCCAAATTTGAAGATCATTCCAAAGCTTCTTAGTTTCACAACATTCCCAGTAAACATGGCACAAGTTTTCATCCTCATCTTTACAAAAGCTGCATGAGGCACTTTGGATAAGGTTCATATTTAATAGTTCCTTTTTGGTATAGATAATACCATGTAAAATTTAAATTGGAAATCTAAGAGTTTTACATCATTAATGTCTTGTCTGTAAGACATAAAAGTCATTGGCCAATCAAAATCAGTATCATCAAACCACTTTCTCCCATTTATGACACATATGAGGGTTATTATTAGCAATATTAAAATGATCACTGTATATCATAAAATAATCTTGATCCCTGTAATGATTTCATAAAATTCTTTTGATAAGAATTTAGATTCAAGTCATAGTTATGGATATATCTGTGATTTGTTGTATTTTTCCATGATTCAGGTAAAATATTTAAAACATATCTATGATCTAATTCTGTCCCTTTTATTGAATATCTACTTTTCAAAGATTCAAAAGACATCAAACCTTCTTCATCACACATGTCTTTGATGGTTAAAAGTCCTTTATTTGCCCAATGTCTGATATATAATGATTTTGGTTTTAAAATTGTGATTAAACCATAATGCCTGTGCTAACATTTCATCAATGTTGCTTTCCTCTATGGTTATGTGAGAACAATACATATTCCATGCTTTTAAAACATCTTTCCAAAATTGATTATGAATATCAGCAATATTATATAAATTAGCACCAAATTTCATGATATCATGTAAAGGAAAATTGCATATTGATAATTTTCTCAAATAAAGTCTCAAAGTGGACAGTTTCAAGGCATTGATAAAGGTATTTATGTCAATCATTCTTAAACCCCCATGTATGTAATCTTTTTTCAAAGTACTTCTCTTAATGTTGTCATTTTTGTCATTCCAAATGAATTTTATCAAGGTTGGTAACAAAATCTTGGGGTGGGTTTGGTAAAGTATTGAAAATATGAACTAACTTTGAAATAGCTTACTGACTAGGTTGACACATGTCAATGGTTCCCAATTGCGTTGATCGATGATCATGCTGTTGATCACTGGATTGTCTGGTCCAGACTCGATTATTTACATACCGCCGCCATATTGCAGGTATATTGCTGAGTGCGGCGCAAAACTAAACTCACTCACTATTGTATTTGAAAGTTGTTGGTCGAATCTAGTTAATTGGCCATATAATATTTCTTCCTAAAGTGAGGGCGGTGGGGTAGCCTAGTGGTTAAAGCGTTGGCTCGTCACGCCTAGGATTGGTTCGATTCCCCACATATAATGTGTTAAGCCCATTTCTGGTGTCCCCCGCCGTGATATTGCTGGAATATGGCTAAAAGCGGCGTAAAACTAAACTCAGTCAGTCAGTCAGTCCTAAAGTGAAAATAACTTGTCGTTGGTGCACGTATGTTGTCGATAGCATATTCTCTTGGAATGCAAAAGTGCAGTGAAAGTAAACAAAAAATTGATTAAATGCATTGGGTGAGTGACAGGGGAAACCAGAAATGGGCTTCACCAAGTTTGGGGAATCGATCCCGGACAAGCGAACGCCTTAACTACAAGGCTATCCCACCGTCTACTTCAGTAGCATGATGTAGTTGGGGGTCTCATACGGCTATAGAGGGTAAAGGCACAGTTGTTGAATGAAAATGAATGAGTGAGTGAGTGAGTAGAAATTTAAAGTCACATTGGAAGGATAATCTTTATCATGCAGTGGATCTATGGATGAAACACTTTATTAAGCCAACTCATAATGAAATTCGACCCAGGATTTGTTGTATTTGTGAAGCGCGGGATTCACTTTTCTTTTCCGGAACATCCAGTATCATAAACTTTAAAAATATTATAATGATAATAAACATGCTCATGATAAAGAGGGGCTGTGGTTTTAGCAGAAATTTCCAATGACTGCCTGTCTGACTGAGTATGGTTTTAGGCCGTTTTTAGCAATATTACAGCAATATCACGGCGGGGGACACCAGAAATGGGCTTCACACATTTTGTCCATGTGGGGATTCGAACCCGGGTCTTCGGCGTGACGAGCGAACGCTTTAACCACTAGGCTACCCCACCGCCCAATGAATGAATGAATGAATGCACATAAACCATATTATATACCTCATATCATATATATGATATTACCAATAATATCTTGCTGTTCTTGTTTGCTGAAGTGGGTTTATATATCCATCCTTGGTGAGGAGCACAAGCAGGCTTAGTCGTATGAGCTGATACCCTCCTACTATTTTCACCTGGCTGAGAACAAGTCGAGACAATGTTTCAAACGGACCCTCTCAAAACCTACCTGTCGTGAATACTGCTCATCCAGAAAATGACACGCCAGGTAGTTTCATGCACCTTTAAATGTTAAAGGGGCGGGGGCGGTACGCCGAAGATCCGGGTTCGATTCCCCACATGGGTACACTATGTGAAGCCCATTTCTGGTGTCCCTAGTCGTGATATTGCTGGAATATTGCTAAAGGCGGAGTAAAACCCAACTCACTCACTCACTTTAAATGTTAAATGTGGTGGGAGAGATTATGAGGCAGACGCATGAGCCATCATAATTGCATGATAGAATCCATGTAACCGTTCCAACACGTACCATATATCAAGTCCCACTTAGGCTTATTTAATAAACAATAGCTCTTTCAAACTTGGCGTAAGTGTTCATTTTACATCTACTCATGAAACGAGAACAGAATTTCGTTCTCAGTGTATTCCCAAAAATAATTCTTGCTGATCCAGAGCTGTTCAATACTTCATAACATAACCATTCCATCAGCATCACTACAGTAGTTGGTTTACCAAAGAACTTTTACATGCGACAAATTGAATAGTGCCATAAGTAAGGTCAGCGTGTGAACCGAAGACCACATCAACTGACGTTTAAACCCAAAACATGTACATTTATAGAACTGAAATCTTAAGCTTCATAAAATACCTTTGGAAAGATATATACTTGGGTCATGTAAATATAACAGAAAAGTCCTGTATCTGTATCACAGATTATCTATAATCATTAAAACAGCCAAGGATGTTGCTCGTTACATTAACTAAACACATTTCATACAAGTGGTAGTGATGCAGTGTGAGGTCTCAATATCTGAAACCATTTGTTTGAATTTCTGCAATGTCAGAAATTAAGTTCAATTATGTCCAAACATTCCATTTCTCAACTTTGTAGCCATTAACACACGAGGCAAAGTTTAGGACAAACTTCATTTCTTGATGCATGAGGCATTTCTCAAAAGTGATGGTCTGACCTCGGGAATCGTTATTGCATATGTACATTTACGACCATTGGTAAAACATGAAAGCAAAGGTCGAATGAAGTTTATTATGAAGGTCTATGAAGTAGGGGTGGGTATTGCAAGGAATTTCATATTGCGATAAATTGCTATGCGAAAGCATGTATTGCGATATGTATTGCAATATACATGTATTGCAAGAAGTTTTCTTTAACAAAAAATACGTATAATCGAGTTAATGCTTGATTTATAAAGTAAAAACACAACAAAATCACAAGGCTTGATCAGGCGTTAATAAAAACTTTTAATCCTGACAAAATAAAAATGTAAATAATGTTTGGCACAAATGAAACAAGGAAAGGAACAATTTAAAAAAACGGAAATATCCTAAGATTTCCGAGTGTTACGAAGTTTTCCGAATGCATGTCAAAATACCGGTTTTCGATCAGCGTATCACAATACGTATCGTTTTCATGTCTGAACCGGTAAATACCGGTAAAACGGTTATATTGCGCAGCCCTACTATGAAGGTTGGGGATAGGACAATAAGGTAAGACATAGCGTGGCATCTTTATGGTCACTACATCTAGCTCATCTGTTTCCTTATTCATATGAGTTATAAAGACTTCTTGCGATTTGATAATGATGTAGGTTTTACATATTTTACATGTCACAGGAAAAGCGAAAGGAAACAAGGAAGTTGAAGAACACTTAATCTCTCAAGGACGTGAATCTTAATTGAAAAATACTTTACAGAAGCATGTTTATGTAACATCTTCCTATCTAATTTACAGAAGTTAACAAACAAGACCTAAAGACTTTGTAAAAACATTACACAAAAAGGGTTGTTCTCGTGTTACATCGCGTTAAGTCATTCTCAACCTTTTGGGCATTACTACGTTAAGAAGGTCATTTACAGGTTAACAAACGGGCAAGAGATACCCGACTGATTCTCCGCTTTTACGAGAAACCTTTTGAACCTTTCCACCAATGTAAGGCGTGGATATACACCACGACAAGCAGGGATTATCACTTTATGACGCCAGCATACACGCAGTCAATTTTCTTTATACCCAAACAATGCAATTTCAAGGCAACATGCCTACCGTGAATGGAACATCAAACTTTATTGATGTGAATATATCTGTGTACAATGTACAGCCATTTATACAGTGTCCATGTCGTGCTACGCGATCGTTTGTCGTCCGAACCAACGACTGCCTGAGTTTGGTTGAGGAACTGTGAAAGAAAGATTATATATGCAGTCAAAGGTTCCATGCACAAATAGAGGCCATTATGACTTGTTGAGGTGTTGTTGTACACGTGGACGTACACTGGAGACGATACCGTCGGGTGGACAATGTTATAAATCACTGCTCGGGACTGACGAGACCTGTCGACTCGAATACTATTACATTGTGTACAGGCATTAAAGAACGAGGGTCCATAAGGAATGTGCACGAATTGATAGTTTTATGTGCTGTGGTCGGTTTCTGGTGTATAAGCAGATGTCAAGACCGACATATAATCGTTTGTTGGCTAAATTAGGTGGACGCGCACTGTATGTATCAGTTCTTGTGTATGTGTATCAGCGATATATGTGAGGATGTATACAGATTACTGCATGACTTTCTGTGAGGACTCAAATGTCCCAAATGAAGGTAAGGTCTGGGGATGGTATCTCCTTGTTGTATCTGTAGAAAATCCATCCATACGTCTATACATACATACACACACCTATCCGCCCCTCATCCCTCCATTTATCCTTCCATCCATCCATCCATACATTCATACATGCATGAATGCATATACACATACATGTACACGCACGCACACAGACAAACATGCATGTATGCATACACATACATACATACATACATACATACACACATACACGCATACACAGATGCATACATGCATGCATGCATACATACATACATACACCAGAAATGGGCTTCACACATTGTACCCATGTGGGGAATCGAACCCGGGTCTTCGGCGTGACGAGCGAACACTTTAACCACTGGGTTTTCAGTTGTATGGTTCTTGCAACCATCTGTTACTTCAAGTCTGTGACCAGAGAACCACCCCTTTCCACCCTCACCGAGGCTCTCTTGTAAAGTACTGATGACGTCATCTTTAAAGGCGCACTCAGTCATATCACGTCAGTAAGTCAATACAGATACACCCTAACTGATCTAAACACCAAAGGATACAGGTAATTAGAGAAATTCGAACCAGTTGATAGTCGTGAATTGATGGGACGTGCTACATTGAACAGTCAGGCAGCTAACTCTTTGAATACAGATCCCATGATACACTGAGGATATACACGGTAGGTAGTCTTATGGTTCCTTTGATAGGGGCTAGGACCCATGGTGCGTGTGTGAACGTCGTACTTTGTAACACTAAGTGTTGTTTACGCTATCTTCTTGTTTCATGTTTTGAATTAATAACTTAATGTATTAAAAATCATAAGAATCTTATGATTCTACCTGATATTTCGTGAAATTCCTTAATCTCTTATACAGGAATTTATTAATATGGCAATACTGTACATGTCTTTCTTTAATTCATGTTACAGGTTTCACTTTTGTACAGTTACTTTTTTCTGTAATGAAATCATAATAATTATCATAATAATTATCATAATAATTATCATTAATTAAAACACTTCTTGTTACTTTTGTAGATGTATTGCATATATTTCTCAAGTATATTTTGCGTACATTATCATGAATCAACGGAGTACAAATACAATAAGGGGCGGGGGGTAGCCAAGTTAAAGCGTCCGCTAGTCACGAATCCGGGTTCGATTCCCCACATGGGTACAATGTGTGGAGCCAATTTCTGGCGTCCCGGTTTCTAGTGTGGTGATGCTGCTAGAATATTGCTAAAAGCGGCGTAAAACCATACTCACTCGCTACACATACAATGATCCGTCGTTCCCTAACGGGACGGTGGGGTAACCTAGTGGTTAAAGCGTTTGCTCGTCACGCCGAAGGCCCGGGTTCGATTGCCCACATGGGCAGAATGTGTGAAGCCCATTTCTGGTGTCCACCGCCTTGATATTGCTGGAATAATGCTAACAGCAGCCTATAACCCAACTCACTCACTCACTGTATTCACGCTAAAGGACGTAACTGTGTAAGGCTTCATACAAGTGTTGAAATATCCCATCAAAGTATGACTTAATTAAAATTAAAACGAAAAAAAATAACAAGAAAAAAATATCATATTCAGAACATATCACTTTCAGAAGCAGAGTAGATGGTATAAGACACATATATAATAATATACTTGTGAATGAATGACTGTCAGTGAGTACGTCAGCAGAGTTTAACCCAGCTTTGAATTGTACTCACGGTGTGACAGCTTAATGTGGGAAAAAATCCCGAAGTAACGCAAATATTAGGCGTTTATCACTTTAATGAAACCCCCAAGCATGGAGATGATCAATAAACCTGGAAGCATAATATCAGCAAACCGGATTCAAAGCAGCAATCACAGTTGTCAAAGGGACGCAACTCTGTATATAGAATGTTCCATCGGGGACGACGGAGCCATCAGTCTCCCCCCTGAATCACTATCACATAGTAAATGATACACACATGTGTAAACAGAAAACCCGACCTTGTGTGGTACTATATACCTGCTCTAAATATGCTATTCTTTGCATGTAAACGGGAATACGATGATCGCCTACATTAACAAAACGATTTGCCAAAATACAAAGCGGAATTTTACAGAAATGAATATGTAACTCACTAATGGTATATTTTTCAGATATCGTAGACTGAACAATCGTATGGCTGTCAAAGGCCTCCATACGGGGGTGATATTGTTTCTAGGGCTACTCGTGACTGTTGGCAGTAAGTATAGAACTGACGTTTATCACCTTCAAGGGTTTAGTTAAATATTAACTAAATATGAAGTCATCCGTGAAGATCCTGATAAAGTTTGTCTTTTGCAACTTGTTTTTTCGGTGAATTGGTTCATGTATACGCAGATCGATGCTCATTATGTCCATCACTCGATTGTCTGGTCAAGACTTGATTATTTGTAGACCACCACCATATTCACTAAACGCCAAAAGAAACGTTACCCTCCTACCTTTATGAATGACATAAAAACTATCAAAGATATATAAGAATGTAGTAGTTTACAAGAAAGCTTAACAACACAGCTTTATGCAAATCGTGAAAAATTCTCAATATCATTCATATTTAGGTTAAATGCATCTTTTACAGAAGAGTTAAATTGTCCTGTTTTCGTCCATGCCAGAAATAAACCAATAACAGTGATTTAGATGTAAATAATCATTCCTGTGATTTCAATCTTTTAAAAAAGTTTCTGCTGATTTGAATTAGTGAAAACAAGTATAACGTGTCTTTGATATTGTGGAAAAATGTTTAGGAACATCTGAAATTATCTTTGTTAACAGTTTTGCTTGCAAAGTAACTTTTTTCTATTTTCTGTTTACGCATAGCAATATAAATTGCCAAAAGGCACCAATATTCAAGCAGTATTTGCGACCATTTCACATGTAGAATGATTCTATAGGGTAAAAAGAGAGCCTAGAATACATGATATGATACACAAGTACGAGAAATATGCCACGATTAACAGCTGAAGAGAGAGAAAGAGCCACTGGGATGGCGCAGATGGGGTCGACATACAATGCTGTTGCCAACGCCCTCGAACGCCCCCGTATAACGGTCACAAGACTTATTCAGGGCTACAGACAGACTGGGGTCACCGTAGACAGACCAAGAAGTGGCACGATTGTCAAATGTGCAACGTGAACGTGCCGTTGGCATGTTGCAAGCGGGAAGATCAGTTATTGACGTCGCAAGAGCAATGGGATGCAGCCGTCGTACTGTGTATGACTTGCGAGGTCGTCTACAACAAACTGGCACCACTTCTGATCGCCCAAGTCGGGTCGTCCACGTGTGACGTCACGAGCAGAAGACCGTCAAATCGTCCTACGTCACCTACGTGACAGATGTCTGCCGGCTACACGAACCAGGGCTGAGATGTTTAGAGGTCGACTGTTCTCACAGACCATTCGAAATCGGTTGCGGGCTGCCAATCTCCATTCTCGACGTCCATATCGTGGGCCAATATTGACGCCGTTTCATCAACGTCAACGTCTGCTGTGGGCCCAACGTCACCCCCGATGGACCTAGAGAGACTGGAATCGAGTCGTCTTTAGCGATGAATCCAGGTTTACCCTCAGATTCGCGGACGGCAGGCATAGAGTCTGGAGACGACGTCGTGATGTTGTGTACAGGAAGTCGACAGATTCGGGGGCGGAAGTTGCATGGTGTGGGGTGCTTTCTGTGGGAACAACCGATCCCGGCTTCTGGTCATCCTTGGAAACCTCACTGCTGCTGCTTACCGCGACCAGGTGCTCACCCCTGAACTCGTTCCTTTCATGGCGGCTCATGGCCCATGTCTACAGTTCCAGCATGATCATGCTCGGCCGCATACAGCGATGTTGACACGAAATTTCCTTCAAAACGCTGGAATCAACGACATGGACTGGCCATCGAGGTCCCCTGACCTTAATCCAATAGAGCACGTTTGGGATGCACTTGGGAGAAGGCTTCGTGGTCCTACTAACCAACCTCAGAATTTGCAGGAACTTGGCGCTGCCTTGCAAGAGCAATGGCGCAGAATCCTCAACCACAAGCATCAGGCAGTCGATGAGGAGACGGTGTTTGGCAGTGGTGAATGCGCGGGGCGGCCATACACGATACTGAACTGAGAAATTTCGCATTTTTATTCTTGTGACTTGACATTCTGTATACTTGTGCTTTGGAACGGCGGTGTAGCCTAATGGAACTGATTATGGCACTGTCAGTGTATCGAGTACATCACACAGATCTCAGCAATGAAATAATAACAATTTAACCATCTTACCATCTCTCGTTCTTTTATAGTGCCCTGAAGTAAGAATGTGAAGTTTCTTTTTTGACTTAGTATATATCTGCCGCCCACCAACCGCGCAGATGACCTGTATAGGGAGAGTCTACAGGAACTCCAAGATATATATTCATCCTTGGCGGTAACAGGACCAGTTATCATCCTTGGTGATGTAAATGCAAAAGTACCAGGACCTCGAGCGAGAGAAGTGCTGGACCACAGAGCCGAATCACGACATGATGTTGAAAGTAAGGTCCACTGGATCCTTGAAGGTAAGCCTAGAGGAATGCTACACGATTCATTCAGGGAATACAAGAAAGCAAAAGACGTCTTCAGGGCTGCAATGAAGAAAGCTGCATCAGACTGAATCAGAGCACTTTAATAACTTGAATAACCTATTTCATATCGACAATAAAAGGTTTTGGTCCATCCTAAAGAACAGAGACAGAAAAGCTAAGATAACAAAACTACAGTCTGAAGGAAAGAGCACCGGAGACCCTGCTGAAATATGTCAAGCTCTCTCTAATCGCATGAAGAAGATTTTCAGCGATAAGAAGGAAGTTCACTTTGATGAAAACAATGACAAAGTAGACAAACGAGACAAACTGAAACAAGAAATACTTACCAAGATGTCGACGCAAGCAGTATACTGACGTCAGAGGCCGAGGTTAAAGCATGTTGCCAAAGTCTGAAGAACAACAAAGCCGCTGGCTATGAAGGAGTATCATATGAACATTTCAAATTTGGTGGAACGTGTTTGTACAGATACATGACAGAGTAAGTCAACCGAATACTTACCACAGGAAACGTACCAAGCCAGTGGAAGAAGGGGGTCATCATCCCTATTTACAAGGGAGGTAACAAGTCCAAAACCTCACCAGGCTCCTACAGGGGTGTCACGTTGCTCCCAGTCATATCTAAGGTATTTGAACTAATATTAGGCAAACGAATCCCTCAGTTAAATGATTCGACAGACTTTCCTGATGGCCAACAGTGTGGGTTTCTGAAAGGTTTGTCATCCCTCCATGCGTCCTTCATGCTGCAAGAAACGACTCTCCTACAGCTGCAAAGCCTTTGACACAGTCTGGCACGACGGACTGCTCTGGAAATTGCATCAGATGGACATCCATCCGGGCCTCTGGCGGATCCTGTGCAACACTTAAACTGGAATGCAGAGCTGTGTACTCGCCAACAACATGTATTCGCACTGGTTCAGTCTCCAACGTGGCGTCCGGCAAGGTAGTATTCTCTCTGCAAAACTGTACCTTATCTACATCAATGAGCTCCTTTTGAAACTTGACAAGCTGAAAAGAGGATCCTTTGTAATGGATATACATGTGGCTGCTCCGACCCAAGCAGACGATATCTCGCTGATAAGTCCTATATCTGCTAATGTCCAGACAATGGTGACTCTTTGTCAAGAATATAGTTCTAAATGGCAATTTACATTTTCTCCTCTCAAGAGTAACATCATTATCTTCAACCCAAAAAGAAGAAACAACTGTCACATTGAACTGTATGGCAAAGCTATACCAACAATCAAATGCACAAGACATGTTGGAATAACTCTCGACTCCAACTTTAACAACCGAGAAAGAACAGAAAATGCAAGCTCCAAAATGAAGTCGACTGCATTGATGCTGATAAGAGCAGGCGTACACCATAAAGGACTGAATCCCATCACATCCTCGAATCTAGTTAGATCAGTGTGTATACCAAGAGCCACGTTTGGTTGCGAACTGTGGACGGGAATCACTAAAGGTGACTCTATTACACTAGAGCGAGCACAACGTTTTTGCCTATAGCTGTGTCAAGGACTCCCCAAGTCCACCAGGACAGACATTTGTAACTCGCTCCTCGGATGGTCTTCAGTAGCATCTCACATTGACACCAGAAAACTATTCTTCCTCGGTTCTCTGTGCAACAGCAAAAAACATCTTTTGTCCTATAAACTGTTTGTATCACGCCTCTTTGCATACAGACATTGGCCCATCAATAAGCAACTTGGTTTTATTCCAGATGTTATCAACATTCTGCAAAAGTACCACCTTTTACAGTATCTGGACAACTTCATCCATTCTGGTGTGTTCATGAAGCAATCGTCATGGAAAAAGATTGTCAAGAAAACAGTTTTAAATCATGAGCTCTCAGACTGATGTGAACGCCTCAGAACAGATCCAGACCTGAAGCACTTCCGCCAATCCACCTCTCACCAAGTCCACACCCTGCCTGGCTAGTAGCTAGGAGATGCCCGGAACTGAAGAAGCAGTGCCAGTTTACGGTGCAGCTCTGTGCCGTCTGGAGACCAACTGGATTTGTCCATGGCCAGTGTGACCTATGCGGTGACGTGTATGATGATCTCCTGGTGACGTGTATGATGATCTCCTGGTGACGTGTATGATGATCTCCTGGTGACGTGTATGATGATCTCCTGGTGACGTTTATGATGATCTCCTGGTACATGCCATATGTGCCTGTGAGGTCAAAGTAGAGACGAGAGACCTTCTGTAGTGCGACCTCATCAACGTAGGACCTGTGGACCTGAGTGGGAGTCTGCATGGCAAGGCAGATCTGGACCTGGTGTGCTGTCTTATGTCCTGCCGACCCCCTGTGACTCTGGCAGATGACGACCTATGGTCGTACATAGAGACTGTTGTGAAAGGACTATCCTCCCTCTGTCCATAATTCTGTATATCTACTTCAATGAACTCTAAACCCTAATTTTATCGAAGTATCGCATTTCTATGTACTCTTCTATGGAGGATTAAAAGTGTATATAAGTTAATTGGATCTTGTTTTAGGATCATGTACCTACACTACATTAATTGGATCTTGTTTTAGGATCAGGTACCCACATTACGTTAATTGGATCTTGTTTTCGGATCATGTTGGATATTGTTTAAGGATCATGTACCTGCACTACGTTAATTGGATCTTGTTTTCGGATCATGTTGGATATTTTTAAGGATCATGTACCTACACTACGTTAATTGGATCTTGTTTTAGGATCATGTACCTGCACTACGTTAATTGGATCTTGTTTTAGGATCATGTACCTACACTACGTTAATTGGATCTTGTTTTAGGATCATGTTGGATATTGTTTAAGGATCATGTACCTACACTACGTTAATTGGATCGTTAATTGATCGTTGTTTAAGGATCATGTACCTACACTACGTTAATTGGATCTTGTTTTAGGATCATGTACCTACATTACGTTAATTGGATCTTGTTTTCGGATCATGTTGGATATTGTTTAAGGAACATGTACCTACACTACGTTAATTGGATCATTTTTAGGATCATGTACCTGCACTACATTAATTGGATCTTGTTTTAGGATCATGTACCTACACTACGTTAATTGGATCTTGTTTTCGGATCATGTTGGATATTGTTTAAGGAACATGTACCTGCACTACGTTAATTGGATCATTTTTTAGGATCATGTACCTGCACTATGTTAATTGGATCTTGTTTTAGGATCATGTACCTGCACTACGTTAATTGGATCTTGTTTTAGGATCATGTACCTGCACTACGTTAATTGGATCTTGTTTTAGGATCATGTACCTGCACTACGTTAATTGGATCTTGTTTTAGGATCATGCACCTGCACTACGTTAATTGGATCTTGTTTTAGGATCATGTACCTACACTACGTTAATTGGATCTTGTTTTAGGATCATGTACCTACACTACGTTAATTGGATCTTGTTTTAGGATCATGTACCTACACTACTTGTTTAATTGAACATGGTTTTAGGATCATGTACCTGCACTACATGTTAATTGGATCTTGTTTTAGGATCATGTACCTGCACTACGTTAATTGGATCTTGTTTTAGGATCATGTACCTGCACTAGGATTAATTGGATCTTGTTTTAGGATCATGTACCTGCACTACGTTAATTGGATCTTGTTTTAGGATCATGTACCTACACTACATTAATTGGATCTTGTTTTAGGATCATGTACCTACACTACGTTAATTGGATCTTGTTTTAGGATCATGTACCTGCACTACGTTAATTGGATCTTGTTTTTGGATCATGTTGGATATTGTTTAAGGAACATGTACCTGCACTACGTTAATTGGATCATTTTTTAGGATCATGTACTCACACTATGTTATTGGATCTTGTTTTAGGATCATGTACCTGCACTACGTTAATTGGATCTTGTTTTAGGATCATGTACCTACACTACGTTAATTGGATCTTGTTTTAGGATCATGTACCTACACTACGTTAATTGGATCTTGTTTTAGGATCATGTACCTACACTACGTTAATTGGATCTTGTTTTAGGATCATGTACCTACACTACGTTAATTGGATCTTGTTTTAGGATCATGTACCTGCACTATGTTAATTGGATCTTGTTTTAGGATCATGTACCTACACTACGTTAATTGGATCTTGTTTTAGGATCATGTACCTACACTACGTTAATTGGATCTTGTTTTAGGATCATCACGTTGTACCTGCACTAGGATCATGTTGCAACGTTTGGATCTTGTTTTAGGATCATGTACCTGCACTACGTTAATTGGATCTTGTTTTAGGAACATGTACCTGCACTACGTTAATTGGATTTTGTTTTAGGATCATGTACCTGCACTACTTTAATTGGACCTTGTTTTAGGATCATGTACCTACACTACGTTAATTGGATCTTGTTTTAGGATCATGTACCTACACTACGTTAATTGGATCTTGTTTTAGGATCATGTACCTTCACTACGTTAATTGGATCTTGTTTTAGATCATGTACCTGCACTAGGTTAATTGGATCTTGTTTTAGGATCATGTACCTACACTACGTTAATTGGATCTTGTTTTAGGATCATGTACCTGCACTACGTTAATTGGATCTTGTTTTAGGATCATGTATGTACACTACGTTAATTGGATCTTGTTTTAGGAGTACCTTACGTTAATTGGATCTTGTTTTAGGATCATGTACCTGCACTACGTTAATTGGATCTTGTTTTAGGATCATGTACCTGCACTAGGTTAATTGGATCTTGTTTTAGGATCATGTACCTGCACTACGTTAATTGGATCTTGTTTTAGGATCATGTACCTACACTACGTTAATTGGATCTTGTTTTAGGATCATGTACCTACACTACGTTAATTGGATCTTGTTTTAGGATCATGTACCTACACTACGTTAATTGGATCTTGTTTTAGGATCATGTACCTACACCAGTACTGCAGACACAGGAGGAGATCAGTCTTTATGGATTATTCACAGTATGGTGAATGACTTAGCGGAATGCGAAGCTACCTGTACAGCAGACACGGAGTGTCTGTCTGTGGAATTGCTGTCCGACAAAACGTGCTTTCGTTTTCAAACTGCGACAATGGCTACCCCCAGGACTAATAGCATCTACTCAGTAAAAGATTGTTCAGGTGAGGTCATGTGTTATTTTGTAAATAGTCATGGGCAGGGCCAAAGAGAAAGTTAACGGTCAGAGGCAGGGTTGCAGGTGCATGGATAGGGGCAGAGGAAGGTACAGGGTCAGGGTCATGGTCATGGTAGTGTCATCGGCATGTAAAACAGGGACAGAGTGCTGTAGGTCAGATAGAGGAATGGGGAAGGGACAGGGGTGGGGTTAAGGGAGAAAGACGGGGGAGGGTCACAGACAGAGTCAGCGAAGGAGATGGGATAGTCAAGGATAGAGGGACAATGTCAGGGCAGAGACAGGGTTAGGGACAGGGCAGGAACACACATAGGTGAAGACAGACTAAAGCAGGGGTAGAGGCAGAGAGATAGGACCAGGTTTTGAGAGACAGCTGTACCACCACCGTGATAATAGTGTCTTAAAATTGTGCACTGTTGTTAAAAATGTCGATTTGAGTTAATCAAAGACCGAAGTGAGTAGTTTTAATGACGGGGTTTCATTTATAGCGATGCCAGTTAGTGATTTATGTATTTGTACCCCCCTAGAGTATATGTGACCTTTAATTCGTCAGCTCCATGCACTATGGCAAGAACCAGCAGCACCAAAGGTGGAGTGACCAACATCCAACTGACCCTGGGTACCCTGGAGGAGTGTGGCTCGGCCTGTCTGTATCTGTCTCAGTGTATGGGCGTCACCTTCTCTGGGGGCACCTGCAGCATCTACGGCGAGACCATATCGGCAGTGAACACAGGGGACACAATGCACAAAGTGAAATATCCCTGTCCGTTTACAGGTAAGTAGGGAATGGGATACAAGTGAGAAGCAATTCACGTACATATGCAGATTTGCAAGATGGTTGAGCATATTACCAATATATATACACTTTTTAGCATAGGTTTACGTGTCAGGTAGTGCTGTATTGGCATACAACCTGCGATAGGATACATCACGATACTAAAAGTTTAGTCACGACGATATATTGCCAAAGTATTGTGCACTAAAGCTGCGATACGATACGAATCCCGATATAAGGGTGGCGATACGATATGTATCACGGTACTTAAATCTTTAATTCTAACACCAACTATAAAACACCTGAATATTAAAAAAACCGAATTATAAAGTATTTCGTCAAATTCCGCCAGCGTTGTTCAATATTCATTCTGAATCGAGATAATTAAGTTTATAGACGGACTTTGTGAATGTTAATAGCATGTCAGCTCTATGTCTGACACAGTTCTTGACGCAGGAAGTTTCGAGAAAACGTTTACTTAGAAGGGAAAATAAGTAAGCATATATTTTATCATCAAACAAAAGTATGCCTTTTTTGTTGACAGATATCGCGTTTCGGCAATATTCAAAGTTAAACATCGATGTATCGTGGTCCATTTGAAGTATCGTATCGGGATACACGACAATGTAAAACCTTGTATCGATTCACTGTATCGGCGACCCATGGATCGATGCATCGATTCGTATCGATGTATCGTCACACCACTAGTGTCAGGTGGGGTCTATTCGTTGATTTGTCGCTTTGTTATAGGATATTTATATAGTGCACATATCCAGGCAACTAGTGCATGCTCAAGGCGCTGGTATTTGCACGTATTCATGTGGCCCCGATCTGGTGTTTGCAACTGCACCCTGGTAGTATATTCGAGTTATGTGGCTTTCTCATCCTAACGGGGTACCCATTCACCTGGTCATATACCAACAGATTCGTGGGGTCTTTTAAATGCACAAGGCTGTGTACTGTCCTTTATATGTGGTAATATCGTCATGACGTGGGGGTATGTACTGTCCTTTATATGTGGTAATATCGTCATGACGTGGGGATGTGTACTGTCCTTTATATGTGGTAATATCGTCATGACGTGGGGGTGTGTACTGTCCTTTATATGTGGTAATATCGTCATGACGTGGGTGTGTGTACTGTCCTTTATATGTGGTAATATCGTCATGACGTGGGTGTGTGTACTGTCCTTTATATGTGGTAATATCGTCGACGTGGCTGTGACGTGGGGTAATATCGTCATGATGTACTGTCCTTTATATGTGGTAATATCGTCATGACGTGGGGTGTCCTTTATATGGGTAATGTGACTGTCCTGTTATATGTGGTAATATCGTCATGACGTGGTACTGTGTACTGTCCTTTATATGTGGTAATATCGTCATGACGTGGGGTGTACTGTCCTTTATATGTGGTAATACGTCATGACGTGGGGTTGTACTGTCCTTTATATGTGGTAATATCGTCATGACGTGTGTACTGTCCTTTATATGTGTATATCGTGACACTGTACTGTCCTTTATATGTGGTATATCGTCATATATGTGGTAATATCGTCATGACGTGGGGGTATGTACTGTCCTTTATATGTGGTAATATCGTCATGACGTGGGGTATGTACTGTCCTTTATATGTGGTAATATCGTCATGACGTGGGGTGTGTACTGTCCTTTATATGTGGTAATATCGTCATGACGTGGGGTGTGTACTGTCCTTTATATGTGGTAATATCGTCATGACGTGGGGTATGTACTGTCCTTTATATGTGGTAATATCGTCATGACGTGGGGGTATGTACTGTCCTTTATATGTGGTAATATCGTCATGACGTGGTGTGTGTACTGTCCTTTATATGTGGTAATATCGTCATGACGTGGGTGGGTGGGGGTGTACTGTCCTTTATATGTGGTAATATCGTCATGACGTGGGGGTATGTACTGTCCTTTATATGTGGTAATATCGTCATGACGTGGGGGTGTGTACTGTCCTTTATATGTGGTAATAACGTCATGACGTGGGTGTGTGTACTGTCCTTTATATGTGGTAATAACGTCATGACGTGGGTGTGTGCACTGTCCTTTATATGTTGTAATAACGTCATGACGTGGGTGTGTGTACTGTCCTTTATATGTGGTAATATCGTCATGACGTGGGTGTGTGTACTGTCCTTTATATGTGGTAACATCGTCATGACGTGGGTGTGGTAACAGTGGCACAAGAAAGGTATTTCACACACTTGGCTCGCTTTGATCACTTGGCTTCTCTGTCGACAAGATTGAAATGAGCAAATTCACAAATAACGTAGAGTGAGTGAGTGAGTGCGTTTTACGCCGCACTAAGCAATATTCCAACTATATGGCGGCTGTCTGTAATAATCAAGTCTGGACCAGACAATTCAGTGATCAACAGCATGAGCATCACTCTACGCAATTGGGATACGATGAAATGTGTCAATCAAGTCAGCGAGTCTGACCATCCGATCCCGTAAGTCGCCCCTTACGACAAGCATGGGTTACTGAAGATCATTTCTAACCCGGATATTCACGAGTCCACAAAAAAACATGTACAAAACTATTTCCACTTCCACAAGAAATAATAATTATGAAGAAGGAGCTGAATCATTTGCTGTCACAACCAAAAATGACAGGTGAAGATCTGTAGGTATGCTTCAGTCTGGCACCTAGCAGCGTGATGATGCTCGTCGAGTCAACGTCTAAAGAAACGTTTACAGCAAAACAATCAAGTTGTAGGCGTCAAAGGCAGTGACCGCCTGCCAGAAACGACCGGTGGATTCAAGCCACTCAACTCCGACACTGGTTCCAGCCAGCACCCCTTACATTCCGTATCATACCTGGAAACAGCGGTGTATCTGCGAGAACAACTTCAACTTCCGTGCATGACGCCCCACCCGACGGCAATTCTGACGCCAAAACATTGACGTCTACGTGTCAATTGGAGCGGACAACACCAGAGACGGGGACCACGTGATTGGAGAAGAGTATTTCTTCACCGAACTACTGACGGCAGGACACGTATCTACAGACGTATTTGTTCTGGTCTGGGATCTTTTTGGGAGGTGGAGGCGTTATGATAACAGCTGCGGCAAGGACGCCAATGGTTATGATTGAGGAGAACCTGAACGCTGCCAGGTAGACAGGCCAGATCACACGCTCGAGTTGTACAACAGTATCTTAATCAGAACAATGTTAATATGTTACCCTGGCCCGGATGATCCCAGGGACCGCCTCCGTGGTATAGTGGTTAGAGCGTCCGCCCGGAGAGCGGAAGTTCGCAGGTTCGATCCCCGACCGCGTCACACCAAAATACGTTAAAATATGGTACTTGTTGGTCCCTGCCTGGCGCTCGGCATTAATGGGTACAACAAGGACTGGTCGGCTCGGAGTCAGTATAATGTGTCTGAGTTGGGTATTCATGCTTCACTGCGGCATGGTATCTCAGTGGGCTAGCACTATAAAGCCAGCTTCAGTCTGGGCTAGTACAAGCAGCCGCACATACACATACACACGCATGCACGTCGTCATATGAGCGAAATATTCTCAATCACGACGTTAAACCGTATTTCACCTCACCTCATCGGGTGATCCCAGGGTATTGACCCACTGACCACATGTGGGATGAAATTAACGACATTAACGACTTCTTCCCCCAACAAAGCTGCAGGAACTCCGCCAAATCCTATCCCGGATATGGAATGATCTTTCATTTTCATTGACGTTCAGAGGCATCAGTGAGGCGAAGGTACCAAGCGTGTATCAATGCACAAGGTGGACACTCTCACTACCGAATAAATATGTGAACATTCTTGTAAACTCCCTCTTGTTTTGAGGCTTACTTGCAGGTGTACTGTTCTTATGGTCTGTTGATCATTACCATGCCTTGAAATATTTGTCTTCCTGATGCTATTTCATTCGCGGTAAAATTAAACTTGTGTTGTTTGTGTGCCATAACCTTTGCCTTGGAGTATATATCATTTACCTCAGGACAAACCATGTACATGCTTTCAGGGAAGACCTGCTGTATGGAGGACACGACGACTATGAAGGCTAATGCAGCTGCTGTGGCGACATTGACGGCGTCTTTGGAGTCATGTGAGCAGCTCTGTCTCCTCACCTCCACCTGTGTTTCTGTCTACTTCAAGAACAGCGTCTGCTATCTATACACTGCTTCAACAACCACTTCCGCTGATGCCGGAAGTACATATTCTCTCAAGAATTGCACCGGAAGTGAGTGTTATTTTGTTTTCTGGCGCAGATAGTGTTGACTGAATGTTGAATGATCATACATAAAAACTGCTTGGGACACTGTGATAACTGAACGTTATACTGTTTGAAGAAATAATCAGATTAAATATGTATTGCTATATTTCTTATAGATATGTACAAAGTCACGGAGTTCTGACTCCGTCTTGAATCAAACCTAATGTTGGAAGCTGACAGGTGTTTCCTAAAATAATATAACAAACGCACTTGACAATTTTATATGAAACACGTAAGGTTAGAAAATCATCTCCTTCGCTCTTACACTCTTACACTCAGGATCTTATACCTAAGTTCCCGAAACGTCTCGAACGTTCAAATCCACTTTCCTACACAATTACTTCTTTTAGCAAATGTTAATTTGAAACTAAGGGGGGCGGTGGGGTAGCCTAGTGGTTACAGCGTTCGCTCGTCACGCCGAAGACCCGGGTTCGAATCCCCACATGGGCACATTGTGTGAAGCCCATTTCTGGTGTCCCCCGCCGTGATATTGCTGGAATATTGCTAAAAACGGCGTAAAACCATACTCACTCACTCACTCACTCATTGAAACTAAGGATGTATTACTAATAAATTACCAGTATACACACTGCAGCACACGCTTATGAATGATTCATCACAGACTCGTGAACAAAAGTGTGAAGTGATAGGTACGCTAGGACACTCCATGCTAGTGGTTATATTCTTCTCGTTGTCTTTATTGTCTGTGCGCAAAATATACAGTAAAACGTGAATAGAGGCTGTACCACACTTGATTAACGCATTCTACATTATTTTATTAAATCTTGCTATATGTCGCTGTAATCTCGCTTGTCACATAAGAAGGTTTAATGCTAGGGTTACACTATGTTTCCGGTGACCACGGCAGCCCCGTTTCCCCTAAACGTAGTGCACCGTGGGAGTTTGGCCATTTTGTTCCTCCAAAGTCAAGTTTTGTTCGGTCCTGCTAACTTTCCTCACGGTCTGTCACGGTGTCCGTGATGGGCCGTTGAGAAAAACGAGTCCATTAAGCACTACGGTTCGGCCCTCAGTCCCCTACAGATGCCATTACGTTTCCTTCCGGCCTGTCGCGTTCTGATGGGGCCCCTCCCGTTTCTCACGTTTTGGTCAAGGTTTTGACTCGTTCTGTCAAGACTTTCTACGGATGAAACGTGGACGTCGGCCAGCTTTGGAGCCCGTATGTGCCCACGGTATAAAATAAGGCCTCCCATGCAATAGCAGCCATTTTATCCTGAGAGACAAGAGCAGTATGATCCCCCAAGATGAGAAAATTTTGTGTTTGTATGTTTGCTGGGGGCATACATCGAGTCCTTGCTTCAGCAAAAAGGCCAGTATCAGCTGCAGAGAGGGATGCCACATACATATACAGAACGCAGCGTGCCGTATCTCGCCGGCCCTGTAAACCGTCACGCGCCTGGATGCGTCGTGATAGAATGGGACGAATCGGCTACCATACAACCAAGCTTGCCGTGAGAACCGGGACAAAACGGGTGAAACATCCGTGACAAAACGCCAAACAGACGTGGCCGAATGTGACAACACTTGAAAGGACCGTGAAATGCCGGGGAATACATATGCCTCCCGCCCCACTACAGACCCACTAGGGACCGTCTACAAGTTTTGTTACGGTCTGTTACGTGCTGTCACGTTTTGTTGCGTTTCCCCCGTTTTACTACGGCCTACTAGGTTTCTCATTAGTACCGTGACTGCCGTGGCAAAGTTTTGAACAGTTTAAAGATCTGGCACGGCAACCACTGCAATTACGGACTGTCAAGTTTGCTCATTCAGTCTCCCCACGTTGTCTCACGTCCATCCCGTTTTGTCCCCGTTTCATTACGTTTCGGCGAAACGGGACTGTCGTTGCCGCCGGGAACATAGTGTAATCCTTGCATTAGTTATCAATGCGATAAACCAATCCGACAAACTTAGGTCTTCTTGCAGGAACTACTATCTGTTAAGCTCCATACACCTTCGCGATGTTACATTTCTCAGAGACAGGGGTTACACATGTAACATAGAGAATGTTCCGATGAGGACACATACTTGAGGAAAAATCTTTACAGCATATCTTTGTTCATATAAGTACTTACACATCGGGAATCCACTATTTGTTCATTAAGGGAGAGTTAATAGTTATTGTTAACCAGGCACGCATTAGCGCTGGCTCTACAGGAGGAATGGTATCGGATGAGTGAACACGTTGTCAGAAGACGTGTGTACCCCGTCGTGTTAGGGCTGCACACCTGATATTTAGGCACTTCTGTTCACTTTGAAGCTTTAGTGTTGTGTTTGTCATGTGTTAATGTGCTTGAATACTGGACAGACAGTCCGATAGTCCGGAATAGGATAGACTGAAATGGATATATTTGGTTTTAGTCAATAGGCTACCTTCAACTTACACTGGAGTTTCAATAGATAGATCTAATAACATAGATAACGCAAACCCCTAACCCCTCCCCGAAATCCGCCGAAAACAGATACCAAAAAAGCGACGAAAACTATATACATGATTTACTGAAATTCAGCGTTAATACCAGGTGTTCGAGAAAAGGATGATCATGTCAGACCTTACAAGGATAAGGTTAAAATGTTAACTGTTATGATTTAAATAAATTTACATCCTTACTTTTATTTGACAGCTCCGACAACTTCAGGGGATCTAACAACACTGTGTGTCGGTGAGTATCCAACACAAATACCATACTTTGCACCTGTACTACAGACAAACATCGTTGTGTCGAAGTTGAAGGAACCATCGAGGAAACTCCGAGATTTGACACGACCGGAAAATGATGAATAAAAAAGGGATCCACAAGGACTAGGCTTTTACCTCGACATATCCATATGTTCGACACAAGGACTAAGCTTTTAGATCGACATAACCATTCCGTCGACATAAGGACCAAGCTTTTAACTCGACATTACCATAAGTTCCGAACAAGGGTTAAGCTTTCAGGTCAACATAACCGTACATTCCATACAAGGACTAAGCTTCTACCGCGACATAACCATGCGTTCGAAACAAGGGATAAGCTTTTACCTCGACATAACTATAGTTTCTTGGAGTGGCATTGTTTAGATGTTGGAGAGTAATATACAGACAAACTTTATGGATAAACAACTTCTTTATTCGATTGATGCCGAATAAAGAAGTTGTTTATCCATAAAGTTTGTCTGTATATGACATAACTATAGGTTCGACACAAGGACTAAACTTTTACCTCGACCTCATACGTTCGATACAAAGAATAACCTCGACATAAGCATAAGTTCCACACAAGGACTAACTAAGCTTTTGCCTCGATAAAACCATACGTTCCACACAAGGACTAAGCTTTTAGGTCGACATAACCATACCGTCGACATAACTATATGTTCAACACAAGGACTAAGCTTTTACCTCGACATAACCATACGTTCCATACAAGGACTAAGCTTTTACCTCGAGATAACTATAAGTTCCACACAGGGACTAAGCTTTTACCTCGACATAACCATACGTTTCACACAAGGACTAAGCTTTTACCTCGACATAGCCATACGTTCCATACAAGGACTAAGCTTTTACCTCGACATAGCCATACGTTCCATACAAGGACTAAGCTTTTACCTCGACATAGCCATACGTTCCATACAAGGACTGAGCTTTTACCTCGACATAACCATACGTATCATACAAGGACTAAGCTTTTACCTCGACATAGCCATACGTTCCATACAAGGACTGAGCTTTTACCTCGACATAACCATACGTTCCATACAAGGACTGAGCTTTCACCTCGACATAGCCATACGTTCCATACAAGGACTGAGCTTTTACCTCGACATAACCATACGTTCCATACAAGGACTGAGCTTTTACCTCGACATAACCATACGTTCCATACAAGGACTGAGCTTTTACCTCGACATAACCATACGTTCCATACAAGGACTGAGCTTCTACCGCGACATAACAATGCGTTCCATACAAGGACTAAGCTTTTACATCGACATAGCCATAAGTTCCACACAAGGGCGTTTGAATGTATTTGTCCTGAGCAGTTAGAAAAAAAACAGACCCTGCGTACAACATCGATGTATAGATATGTTGTTAGTAGTCACTGTATAAGAAGGTTGATATTTATTGTTAGCGACGGACCAAAATTTGGTTGGAGACAAATATCTAATCTACCACTGCTTCAGTGCATGTATTCAGTATATCCAGTACACGATGGGTAAATCGGACGAAAAATATTTACGTCCTGTATTTCCAAGTTGATTTAAATGTCACTGCCTGTAAACTTGTTTCTTTGCTGTTATCACAGGCAGTGGAGCTGATGTGCCCATTGTCACCTCACGACTTGGTGAGTAGATACAGTTTTTGTATGATCAAACTTTATTTTTGTTCAGCAAGTCAAATGACTGAAACTGATTCAAAGCCAATTGCCGTCAGTTAATTCCCTGCACACATTGATACATTTCAATGTATAAAACTGACTGACTGACTGAGTTTGGTTTTACGCCGCTTTTAGCAATATTCCAGCTACATCACGGCGGGGGACACCAGAAATGGGCTTCACACATTGTACCCATGTGGGGATTCGAACGCGTGACGAGCCAACGTTTTAACCACTAGGCTACCCCACCGCCCCCAATGTATAAAACACTTCTGTTTGTCTTAAAGAATAATTTTAATACAGTACGATTCCCGTCATTGTATACAAGGTCTTGCATATATACACATACTGATTATTTACTTTCAGGAACTGTTCTTTTAATAGTGATCGCCGCCATAAACTGATACAGAGAGAAGAGAACGGAGAAATTCATTGTTGTGATATAGCAATGCTTGATATATTCCGTGAATAGTGTTTTCCACGGTTTTGACATTTTATACTAACGTCTTTGGGCAGCTATTGTTTTAATTATTAATAAAGGAATACAAATAACGATGAAAATATTTAATAATGTAAACATTGAGATTATGAATAGAATATCCATTATTTGGTACATATTACTAAGAGAAAATACAAACATTATGTAAACACTTTCTTTCATTTTGATGGTTTTTGACATACGTTGATAGCGAATATCATGCCTTATGCCTTTTTTGGTGTAATCTGAGCAATTTTCAAACTTTTTAGTTTTCTTTCGTGATTATCGGAATAGGTCGAATACGATCATGGTAAATACACTTATGAGCCTTTACAGCAGGAGAGTGAAGCACTTTGTTAGTATGTGATTGCGATTATATTTTTCATCGATCATTTAAATCAGCTTCGTTCCGATTAAAACTTTGCAATTATTTTTAATTTTATTTTTCAGTTTATGTGAAAATAATTTGTCTTAATCCGAAAAAGTGATATCATTTCAGTTTATCACTTCCTGCTATAGTTGTGCTATTTTAGCGTCATACTATTATATCAAAACGTCATTTTTAAGATATCTAAATTTTAATCGTATTGTATCAAAGAAAATTTGTTGATGACATTCACCTTGTAGTATCAAATATTCAGATGTATTGTACAATACGCACACATTTATATTTTATCGAAATACAAGTTTTCTTTCTGAAACTTTCAAATCACCGGTTTGTTAACTGTAATACTTTCAGGCCAGTATCCTCGAATAAAGATGTTTCAATTGGTTTATCTTTTCATTGTACTGGTTTTTGTTTTGCCTTCACACTGCATTGTTTGACTGGGCGTACGTACTTCTGTCTATTGTAGCCACTCTATAGGAATTGTGTCAGTCTAGTACGGCGACTTATATCACGAGCAAGACAGTACGCCGTCGAGTTGATGACACACTTCCAGATTATAAATTGTAGCTAGCAAATCCTACTTGTTTCAAAGGCATGGGTACTGGCATGTTCGGCCACGGAATCCCGGCACACTTATATTTGCATAGTAACCATAGTCTCATGGCACCAGATGCGAGAGGTGTCAGTGGAATCTTTACTGGGAATTAAATAACATTGCAGGGAGGTATTTAACATATATCATTAAGTGAATGTGAAATAAGACCGTGTAAATTTGTGCCATACATTTTCTACTACACACACATACGCACATACACACACACACACACTCGCATATCTACATATATATATCTATCTATCTACCTACCTACCTACCTAACCACCCACCAACCCATCCATCCATCTATAAGAGGCAAAGTTCAGCAGCGTACAGCAGACCACAATACGTTATACGTTAGACAGACATTCCCCCTCCCCCCAAAAAAATAAAAAATAAAATAAATAAAAAAATAAAAATATTTTAACTTTAACTAATTAATGTTTCCAATGTAGATCCAATAACCATAGGAAGAAGTGAGAATGAGGTGTGACACAGGTTTACCACAGTTTGTTTCATAATATCGGATTTCAGTGGCATGTGTGTTTGTTGCTGGGCATTGACAAACAATAATCATAACATTGTCCGTTTACTAATGCAGGTCAAGTCTGGTTTGATTCGGAAATTCTAGATCGTCTTAGTTGTACAAATTAAGTTTTTTTCTTATTTCCTTTTGAATTTTATTTATTATTTTGCTATATTTATATTATCATATTATAGCTACATTTCAATAGCTGAGTGAGATGCTAAACAGCAAACAAAAAGCTATATTTCTGTTTCTAAATAGATATTTTCAACTCACTTGCAAACTATACCGTGGAGTGGATGCTTCAATCCTCTCGGACATATGCACACATCCTCATGTAATAACAAATATATATATATACATACATACATGTACATTGCCACTCACTAACTTGCGGGTACTTCCAAATGTACCCAACTAGTCTTAATAGATTCTACTAACATACTACCCCGTCTTGATATATTTGAGGCGGATTGTCTAAGTAAGCGTTCAGTAATAAGGTATATGCAGTCATTTGAGGATTTAAGGATTAGGGATTATGTGTCCTACCGAGGCTTATCGATCCTGGACCCAGCGAGAGGCGATCTGATGCCTCCTGTGGTTACATAGTCAGGAAAGAGTTGCCTCCCCTTCGCCAGACTTGACATGCTCATGGCAGGCGAGTCAGCTTTATGCATAGAAGCGAGCATGGAAGGTGAGAATTATGTTCGTGATAATTGTGGTGAAATGGGTGGTGCTTTAGAAAAGGACACTGGTGATATAGGTAGTGGTGGAAGAGGTGGTTGCTAGATGGGTTGTGGTGGCATGATAGGTAGTGGCGAGACTGAAGGTGATTTTAGGGGTTTTGGTGAGATAGGTGGTGGTACGATAGGTAGTGGCGAGACTGAAGGTGATTTTAGGGGTTTTGGTGAGATTGGTGGTGGTACGATAGGGTAGTGAGACTGAAGGTGATTTTAGGGGTTTTGGTGAGATTGGTGGTGGTACGATAGGTAGTGGCGAGACTGAAGGTGATTTTAGGGGTTTTGGTGAGATTGGTGGTGGTACGATAGGTAGTGGCGAGACTGAAGGTGATTTTAGGGGTTTTGGTGAGATAGGTGGTGGTACGATAGGCAGTGGCGAGACTGAAGGTGATTTTAGGGGTTTTGGTGAGATAGGTGGTGGTACGATAGGTAGTGGCGAGACTGAAGGTGATTTTAGGGGTTTTGGTGAGATAGGTGGTGGCGAGAGATGTGATGGGGAGATGGGTAATTATGAGACAGGAAGTGGTGAAGCAGGTGGTGGTGAGACATGAAGTGTGAGATGGTAATGGTGACATATAGGCAGTGGCGAGATGGGAATGGTGAGACATAGGTAGTGGCGAGATGGTAATGGTGAGTTATAGGTAGTGGTGAGATAGGTAGTGATAGAGAGGAGGTGGTGAAGCAGGTGGTGGTGAGATATGAAGTGGTGAGATGGTAATGGTGAGACATAGGTGGTGGAGAGATGGTAATGGTGTGAGATAAAGGTGGTGGTGAGATAGGTGGTCTTAGAGAGGAGGTGGTGAAGCAGGTTGTGGTGAGATGGTAATGGTGAGATATAGGTGGTGGTGAGATGGTAATGGTGAGATATAGGTGGTGGTGAGATAGGTGGTGTTAGAGAGGAGGTGGGTGGTGAGATAGGTGGTCTTGGAGAGAGGAGGTGGTGGTGAAGGTGGTTAGAGAGGAGGTGGTGAAGCAGGTTGTGGTGAGATGGTAATGGTGAGATATAGGTGGTGGTGAGATGGTAATGGTGAGATATAGGTGGTGGTGAGATAGGTGGTGTTAGAGAGGAGGTGGTGAAGCAGGTTGTGGTGAGATATGAAGTGGCGAGATGGTGATGGTGAGATATAGGTAGTGTCGAGATGGTAATTGTGAAATATATACGTGGTGGTGAGATAGGTAGTGTTAGAGAGGAGGTGGCGAAGCAGGTGGTGGTGAGATGGTAATGGTGAGACATAGGCAGTGGCAAGGTGGTAATGGTGAGATATATAGGTGGTGGTGAGATATGAAGTGTCGAGATGGTAATGGTGAGATATATAGGTGGTGGTGAGATATGAAGTGTCGAGATGGTAATGGTGAGATATATAGGTGGTGGTGAGATATGAAGTGTCGAGATGGTAATGGTGAGATATAGGTGGTGGTGAGATATGAAGTGTCGAGATGGTGAGATATGTGAGTCGAGATGGTAATGGTGAGACATAGGTGGTGTGAGATGGTAATGGTGAGATATATACGTGGTGGTGAGATAGTTAGTGTTAGAGAGGAGGTGGCGAAGCAGGTGGTGGTGAGATGGTAATGGTGAGATATATAGGTGGTAGTGAGATAGGTAGTGTTAGAGAGGAGGTGGTGAAGCAGGTGGTGGTAATAAAGGTAGCAGTGAGAAGGATGCGGTTGGTGATGAGATATAGTTTTGTTTCATGGTTGGTTCAGGTGAGATGGTAATAGTTGTTGATAGTAGTTGTGCGTTGTGTGTGGTGAGATGGGCTGCGATTGTGTGATAAGTTGTTGTGAGATAAGTGGTGGTTGTGAGACATGTAGTTGTGAGTTGTGTGTGGTGAGATAGACTGTGATTGTGTGATAGGTTGTTGTGAGATAAGTGGTGGTTGTGAGACATGTAGTTGTGCGTTGTGTGTGGTGATATGGGCTGCGATTGTGTGATAGGTTGTTGTGAGATAAGTGGTGGTTGTGAGACAAGTAGTTGTGAGTTGTCTGTAATGAGATAGCTTCGATTGTGTGATAGGTTGTTGTGAGATAGGTGGTGGTTGTGAGACATGTAGTTGTGAGTTGTGTGTGGTGAGATGAGCTGCGATTGTGTGCGTTGTTGTGATAGATGGTGGTTGACATGTAAGATAGTTGTGTGTGGTTGTGAGCGATTGTGTGATAGTTGTGAGAGTTGTGTGTGGTTGTGAGATGGGCTGTTGTGAGTTGTGTGTGTGATATGATAGGTTGTTGTGAGATAAGAGGTGGTTGTGAGACATATAGTTGTGAGTTGTGTGTGGTGAAATAGGCTTCGATTGTGTAATAAGAGGCGTGAGATAAATGATTATGGTGACTGGGAGATCGGGGTAGTGGGATGGTGTGGTCATGAGATATGGTGGTTGTTGTGAAATAGATGATATCAATATGATCCTTTTGAGATGCGTATTTGGGAGATTAGATAATTGTAATATAGGTTGTGTTTGGAAAGGTTGTGGTCAGAAGGTTTGTGATGGCTAAATGAGATAGGTGTTTATTGTGAGTACGTTTTGGTGAGATAGGTGTTGGTGCTGAGATAGGAGGCGTAGGTGAGACAATGGTGGTTGAGAGATACGTGATGGTGAGTGATTTTAGTGCTGACATAGATGGTTCTGGTGAGGCAGATGGTGGCTTACGACTTTTGGGGTTGAGAGACAGCTAGATGGTGTGATATGAGGTAATTGTGAGGTAGGCTTCGGTGAGATTGATGGTGAGATAGATGATGGTGGTGGGACAAATGGTTGTTGTGAGAGAGGTGGTTGTGAGATAAAGGTCGTGTTGAAATAGGTGGTTGTGAGATAAAGGTCGTGTTGAGAGGTAATGGTTGTGAGACAAATGGTGGTTGTGAGATAGATAGTTATTTTGTGATAGGTGTGTATTGTGAGGTTGGTCTGGGTGAGATTGATGGTGGTGGTGAGATATGTGATAGTGACATAGATTTTGGAGGTGAGTTAGGTGGTTGTGAGAGAGATAGTGGTAGTGAGATAGGTGGCGTGAATTGTGTGGTTGTGAGATTTGAGTGTCAGATAGTGTAGTGATAATTTTATTGTTAGATGAGTAGAGGCTTGGTGGTCTGTGAGATTGGTGATAGTGGTGAGATGGTAGTGAGGTAGATATTTATTTTGAGGTAGGATCTGGTGAGATGTGGTGGTAGTGAGATAGATATTTACTTTGAAGTAGGTTTTGGTGAGATAGGTGATGGTAGTGAGATAGATATTTATTTTGAGGTAGGATTTGGTGAGGTAAGTGGTGGTAGTGAGATAG